CTTCAGTTTCCAAACAATGATAATTACATCCAGACAAAAGTATTTGACAGACAATATAAAGATAACATTTTTTCCAGAGAAAACTCACCTTAAATTAAAATCACACTGATTTGTGACGTTTTATCTAACATCTATTTTTCTTCTATAAAGTCGGAGATGAAGTAGATTTTTTTGTTTCGACAGCAGTAGATTGTTTGTTACTAATTCCTGATGATTAACGAACAAAGCTTTGGTAGATGGCTATCGTAGAAGTTCCATGTTATGCTTGTCAGAGGTACTACCAGAACACGAGCTTGCAATGAATGACTTCTGTGACGTCATCAACGTTTGGCTTCTCTGTGGAAAAATGGCGTCTATACCTGAATAAACACTTGGAGTGGACATTAGAACCGATGGGACAGTAGATCGTCTTTGATACATCAATTATGGGGACAAAGGGGGCTGTTCATTAAGGAATGTGCAGATGGAAGAACTAACAAAATTTATTTTTGGCCACTTGACGAATTAGAGAAAGTCCATTAAATTCTAGTGCGGATATTTCACAGCAGGAAAAACGTGTTTGGATAGCTTATCTGCTATTATCAAAGATGAAACTAAATGAAGACGGCAAGGAAGTAAGCGTTAAAAAGGTTTATGACTTATAGTGAGAGTTTGACATTTTACAGATAAAAAAATTATCAATTTTGAATTAGAACAACAACCTAAAATTGCTTTCAATATTGAATATATGATTTCTCCTGAAAACCGGGCGAGATGGGAACTCTTCGAGACCTTCAATTGGCTCTTCGGAATAAGATCGAGGAATTAAACCAAAGAGATAAATTAATAGACGAATTGGAAGCAGAACTTGATGAAAAGGATGAACTTATCGAGAAACTTAAAATGGAACTGGAAAAATGTAAAGCAGTGTTAAATTCTGCTGTTGTAAAGCCAACACAGGAGAATGGAACTTTGTATAAGGAGCGAAACAAACGATGTGCGATTTCTGCGGAACCCTCACAGTACGGCGTCAATGTGCGAACCCCATTGAGGAGGGTCGACAAACCAGAGTCGTAAGTAAGAACAACATGGTTTTTCTCAGGGTTGGGGTAGTTTGATGAAGATGTGCACAAAAGATGAATACGAAAATTTTCTTCAATGATCACAACCCTTCACATGTGGTAATTTTATATTAAGGTTTCTATTGTGGATTGATTGATTGATTGTATAGGGCCTAGTGTTTAACGTACCTCTCGAGAATTTTTCTCTCATGTGGAGAGCTGCAAATTTTGTCCTATATTTGGCACTTAGGGCCATTAAACAGGGAGGGAATTTTTTTTGTGCCAGCACCTACTGCAACACGGGACCTCGGTTTATACGGTCTCATCCGAAGGATCGGTCTCCACGTCCCACCGTGGGATTCGAACCCGCGGCGTTAGGGTTAAATCCTTACTTCTCGACTCTAGAGCATATGCTCCAACCACTGCGCCACGCGGGCGACTATATTAAGGTCTGCATGGTATGTATAATTTAAAATTTGAATATGCTTCTTAAAGTTATAAGTTGAGTGTTTGGTTTATTAGTAATAAAAAAGCAACTAAATTTTGCGTTTCTGTTTATTACAATAATCTCCCCATTTTTATCCCAATCTTTATTTTAAGATAAATGTCTCGAGGAATGCATAATTCTCGCAGCATTTTACTTTTTCAAGCAGCAATATAGAATAATACATGTATTAAGGTCATACGCAACATAGTTTTGACTTTATTGGGCTCTTCCCTGGAGTTGAAGAGTTCCACTAAATGAAGGACCAGTTTGCAATACTTTTAATTCTTTATAATGATTTGTACATGTACACCTCTTCTAAAACAAATTTTGGTGGAAAAATATTTGGAAATTATGTTTTGTAATTTTTGTATATTTTTCTTTGAATAATGCAAACAATTTCATAATTTTATCTTTTCAAAACCCCTGGTAACGCATGCTGATTTTTGTCCAAGAATATGTAATGGTATTATAAGTTTAAATTTAGAATATCTTGAAAAATTATCAGTAGGAAAGGTACCTTGTGTATGTCCTTAAAATGGCACAGAATTCGAGATGCTGTAGAAAGACGAACATTAATACATTACTGGCAACAGAACATGTCTCTATTAATCACGTCTTTTTGAAGAGATCAGTTAGAATTTATAGATTTAAACTTTATGTAACACATTATTTATAAGGAATACCTCTCGTCCTGCACATGAAGACATCATCTACAAATGGGATGAAAAAGAGACAGAAACCAATTTAAAATGCAACGCTATAAGAGTCGCAAAGGGTAATAATGCAAAACAGGTAAAAAAGACTAAAAAAGAAACATATCAAACCATTTCAACAGACAATTGCAGTTGCATTCTCAATGCATTCCTTTGCACCAATGCAAAACCAACGGTAACGCTAGATGGCGTGCATAAATCCGAGCAATCTAATGCAAATATACTGTTTTTAAGTGGGAAATCAATCAATTTCGACCCTATAATACCTCTCCCTCTTTGTCATCTTAGTTTTGCAAACAACATCATGAACAGCAAATGTTGGTAGATTTGGAAGCCGCAGATGCTTTTGGATATAACCTTCACAAAAATGTTTTGCTTGATACTAGTGTATGAATGTGTACAAACTGGTCCAATGGTTATTTTTTATTCGTTTTGTGACTGGATGATTTATTCGTCTAGCACATAAAGATATATTATGATAAAAAAAATTCAAAAAAAAGAACATAAACGTTTAATTAAAAAACTTCATAGCCTAATAAAGATTGATATCGCCACATTGAAATGCAATTTAAACACTAGTTCATGAATTAAAATGCATTTACATGTATGTTGTTCACCGATATTTGTATTTTTAAATTTTAAATAAAAAGATTAATGAAAATGAACAAGTTTTTAGAGAACATGATTTACAATCTAATATTGTCGCCTGCGTGGCGCAGTGGTTAGTGTGTCTGATCTAGGTTCGCAAAGTAAGGAGTTGATTCTTACGTCGCGGGTTCGAATCCCACTTGTGGGGCGTGGAGACGGTCCTTCGGATGAGACCGTATAACCGAGGTCCCTTGTCACAGTAGGTGCTGGCACGAAAAAGATCCCTCCCTGCTCATAGACCCTAAGTGCCGAGCATAGGGCAAAATTTGCAGATCTCCACCAGCAAGTGATGGCATCTCCATATTTCTGTAAAATTCTCGAGAGGGGCGTTAATCATCATATAATCAATTAATCAACAATCTAATATTTAGATCAAAGTCGGACTTTTTGGATTTCCGTAAATTAAAGACTCGTGCGCCACCTAGCATTAATTTAGATGACTTCTTTTTGCACACCATCTAGCGTCGTTTCAGTTCATTACTATGCAGTGTGCCTCTTCAACTCCCAGTCAATTATTCTGACTACAATCATATGCACAAGTTCAGAAAGAAAGGACATGATAAGTTAAGGACCCAATTTGGTCCCTGATTTTTGGTCTCCAGGACTGATGCAACAGTTCATCATTAGAAATGTGTTTTCATCCCTCTTACAAAATTAGTAATTTTGATTCTAGATTTTGGGGTACACAAAAGTCACATGAAGGTTACAAAATATATTGATTTTTGAATTTTCTCATTTTTATGCAAATTTTTATGAATCTTAAAGCTTATTTTCTTTCAGAAAACACAGAGCACAAGCTTGTCTATCTACCAGCTATATGTATATTTCATACATGGTATCAGATACTTGTGTATAATAATCTCTGATAGGCAAGCTTTGCTCTTACTTTTGCTAAAAAAGTATCCAAAATTTGATGAAATTCCATGAATTGTGGAAATTCGATACAAACGTCCAACTATACACCCACTTTGGGCCTCCCTAAAGACGCTGAATCAAATATCGTCGATTTTAAAACAAGCAACATTAAAAGCTCCTATCTACAAGTTTGAACAATTTTTACCGTTTTGATTTTTACATCAAATAAAGGGCCAAATTTGGCCGTTACCATACTTTGTATTTTCTTTTTATGTTTTTATTACTTGCAAACACTATAAGATAGGGAGTACTTCATAAGCCCCCACACGCTAAAAGCACGAAAACGTAAAAATACGATAGAAGGTCTCGCAAAGACAGTTAAAACAAAGCCTATACTTCTGTACTTACATTTTAGGCAATTCAGCTTGATCTAAAAATATTAACTAATGTTGAAAATTCATGATACTTTTTAGTATAAATCACAAAGAAAGTGCCCCCCTGGTAGGAGAAAAAAGTAAAATTTCCAAATGTTTTCTGAAGCCCAACTCCTTAATTTCATTCATAGAAAGGAATAGTTGATGCAACCATAAGAAGCATGATTTGGGTAATTAACTTTCAAGACTTCTATGTGCCTAATGGTGGTTAACAACAGAAATGAGGGGCAGAAAACTCGTACTGAATGTGTTACTGTATGGTTCCGAGTCTGACAAGAGAAAGTCATGTAAACCTTGTCTGATGATTTAGACATCTTTTTTTTTACCCCGTGTCTACACAGAAAACAAGTTTTCAGACAAGGACGCTACCGCTATCAGGGCTCACAGATTCTACAGAGTTCACTGGGTACGCATTCCAGCCACTGCGGCAGAAACCCGCAAACGTAATAAATAAGAAAAGTACGAAAATCCAAGAGAAAATCATTCACCAGAACACTTTATGTCGATTTTTGTCCTCCATGCGGCTTTTTTCTCCAGATAAGTGGGCTCCTTTTGTAGGATCGTACCTCCACAGTTCAGGGTGCGAAAAAATCTCAATACACATGCTTCATCTTATCATAGTGGAATTTTATAAGTTTTTCTCCCCGTCTCGAGAGAAGTGTCGACATAAAGTTAAGTTTTCTAAAAACATTTTCTGGTGATACGATATAAGATTGGAACATTCGGTTGAAAGAAAACAGGAATATTTGAATTTGTGTTAAGATAAGCCCGCATTATCAGTATTGAGATGTTTTTATTTATCCGTAAGTTTTCTTTCTCTGTCTTCATGCATACAGAATGTTCATAAAACTCTCTGTGTGATCAGAGACTTCAGTAAATTAGGAGCGTTCTTCATGTGTATACTAAAATTAATTAATGGCATCTCTTGAATGGCGTTCCCTCATCTTGAAGGCTGAATAAAACAAACTTCCTTTTCTTGAATGCTGGTAGTTTGAACAAGGATTTCAACATGCCCTAACGCCAGCAATCAGAGAGACACCGAGTAAAGATCAAAAGCACTTCATTATAAAGCAATGGTCTTTACACTGGAGTGTTGGTATCACGAGGTCTAATGGTGAGGCCCCGGAATTACAGGGCAGGTAGAGCCGATTTCCTCACTACAACTCTAGCAGGTGCTTGATCTGCTCGTCTCTCAAATTTGAAAAAATGGAATGTTTTTTGGCATAGCTTTTGTGAAATCGGAACCAGAATCCGTCTTGAGCCTTAAAGCTACAGAACAAAGCAGGCCTTTGGAATTACTTTGATTGATTAATTATTGGAATTGATAGGAACAGATACAGGTAATTAGTTGTTAATTGTCGAGAGACATTTGTGTAAACATTACGTGAACAGTGCAACAGAGGTTGAGCGGAAAAGAGACTTTATACGTAAGACTTTGTGTCAATGGAATTTAGCAGACTTGTCAGTAGCAGAAGTAGCCAATAGCAGAAGCCTAAGTGATAATTGTCACAGACAGTTTATTATCATGTGTTCTCCTTTTGTTGCGATATGATGTAAACTTTATACCAGATCGATTGTCTTTTCTGATGAATGTATACCTATGTTTCAAAGATTTCTCGTCTTACCTGTGAATTGTTTCCGGAAACAAGGAACATCTTCACCACTGAGACGGTGTGACGGAGGCACGATAGCAAGTTTTCGGAGCACGATAAGCCTTATCAAATGTTTGTAAACCCGTGCCCGCTCCTCGGAATTAACTTCATCAAGACCAAACACTTGCACAACAGATCATCCTTTAATCATTTGTGAAATTCATTATCTACTGAGTGTTTTTATGGACTTACCGGAAGTTACTCAAGGAATTAACACATTGACTCTGGTTTGCGATAAGAATTAAAATCATGAATGGATTCTGAGAACGAAATGGGTACTCTCCGTGATCTCCAGTTATCACTCAGCGAGAAAATCCAGGAGCTGCGGCAACGGGACGAGCTCATAGACGAGTTAGAATCCGAGCTTGACGATAAAGATGACTTAATTAAGAAGCTACAGAATGAGCTGGATAAGTACAGGTCTATCCTAAAACCGGCCTCCACAGTAGTCCAACCCGCCAAAAAGAGGCTAGCCCAGTCACGGGACCGAATCAAACGGACCGCGATCTCGGCTGAATCCCCTAACAATACTGTATTAGCGGCACGTAAAACGGTCAAGGTGCCCAAATCTAACGCGTAAGTACACACACCTTGCCTTATTTGGGTAGGAAGTACATTTTATTAAGCAACCAAAAGAAAAAAGAAAATGAAAAACCGACATGAAAAAAATTGATGAAAACCTATATATGAAGAACATAACAAGATTAGTATTTAGCATGTGAATATTATACCCTACCTACATATAAGTATTTCAAATCTTATTTGTAAAAGAGCAGGTATAACGCAAGTGATTTCTATCGTGTTATAGAAATGATGAATACGTAAATGCACATACGCACGCGAATATGAGAACTTTAAAGACATTGGTCGAAGGGGATTTAAAGGAAAATGACATCGATTTGAAATGGCATACACTCTTTAACTATTCAATGAGGACAACTTTCAAAGAAAACTGAAAACAACAAGAAAATACCGCACGAAAAGTTTGCATGTTAAAGTGTTTTTATTTAGGTTTCGTCTTCTAAACCAGACATTCCGAGTCAGAAAAAGATTTTTAAAAAGTTTGTAGTGTTTTTATCGTAAAATGATAAATCTGTGTTGGTCAGCGTTCTGATAAGTGCTAAATAAACCCGAGGAATAAACCACTGATACAAACCAACCAAGTGATGCCTCAATCTTACCGCTTATCAACAGTCTACAGTTTGAGATACCAATGATTTATTTTCAAAACCCTTTCATAAAAAACCTAATTGCCAACAATAGAGATTTATCACCAAATGTTAACCAGAAAAACCCTTTCTTTTTTTCAAGATTCTAAGCGTTATAAGTTGTGCCATCTTCCCTGCATTGGATGCAGATGATGTGCTTTGTGCAATTTTATAAATTCTTCTGAAGTCTGGAAATATGGCTACCTCAAGGACCGATGCTCGTGAAATTCTGACTCATTAGGTCGTACAGTTCCATGCAACCAATTAAAACGAGTCTCTAATTATTCTTTAAAAAAAACTTTAATTATAATATTTAACATACATTTCAATTTTCAAAGCATAAATTCGTACAGTTTACATTGCTAATGTGTACCAGAAAACCCATAACAGTAAGAATTTGATGTAAATACATGATATTGTCAAGTAGGCTGTAGAAAACAGTGTATGACAGGAGAACAATATGGTATCAAGCCTGAAATGTCTTGGGGATAACTCAATGATTTATAAAATGAAATATAGTTAATAGACTTGCTCAGTTTGTGCTGTACCCGAATAAAGACTAACCAAAGGTTCATGGGGAGCAGAGCGGACCGAAAACCCTATATGTAAATCACTGATCTTTGAAATTCTTGAATTTTTATAATCTTAAGTTTGACATCAAAAATGAGAATTAAAATTATAGTGAAGATTTCACGCACAAAATAAGAGTTGAACAAAAATTTTAAATGGTTTATTTAAAGAAATCTTTGTGATATGTTAATGGCATTGGCTTCGTTACACCCATGTTTGCAGCTGTTCGGCATGTTGTCATAAATATTATCCCTAGTAGATAACAGAGAAAGTGTTTTTAAAATAATGTTTATGAATTATTATTTAAGTTTGTCAATTGGTACACAGCAATATGGACGTTTATAAAATTATCATCAGATGAGTGTATTTATAGATCGTACGCCCAGTGGTAGATAATTTAAATGTGAAAAGTACACGCTGTGTCAATATGTAAACTAAGATTTCTTCTTGTTATAAATTTTAGATGTTCACAGCAATCTTGCTGTAAGCGACATATAAAAGTATTTCATATTCATTTACGTGGCTTATCTTTGCAGTTCCCGAGAGTTGATACGACAAGCTATCCTAGACAATGACTTTATGAAGAATCTCGACATGGGACAGATTCGGGAGATCGTGGATTGCATGTACCCCGTGGAGTACACCAAAGACAGCCTCATCATCAAAGAAGGGGATGTGGGATCTCTCGTCTACGTCATGGAAGGTAACGTACCACGTGACAAATACCGAGAAGCGGGAAAAGAAAAGGGTGGTTTTGTACGTAATGCCTGTCACTTTCATAAACAATGTTCTAGTATGATTGAATTAAACATATTTTATTGACAAAGTCAAAAGGATCGGACACAAGTTCAGAAACTTATATAGTCTTCTCCTAATACAACATTTTGTAAAATGTATGATGAACAACCCTCCCAATAATATCTTAAGGAAATCCGTGAAATGATTTTAGTTTTCCATATAAAACGCTTCACTCGATCTAGATTCTTTGCCATTAAGAGAACATCAGCATGTATATGGTCGGATTAGAGAATGAGGAAAAAAATACCAACGAAATATATAAACAAACAAAACATACCCTCAAAACTATTACATGTGTAAATTATGTGAAATTTACTTTTGAAGCGTCGTTTAAAACCATTACCTGTAGACATACTAAGAAGCTAATTCTGTAGATTTGGTTTGCTGGGATTAGTTTTAAGCATATTCTTGGCGTGGCGCAGGTGTTACATGTAAATTGAAATAAGTTTTGGTCAAAGTCTCAAAGAGCTTTCAGGTATGAAACTTTGGAAAAATTGATTATCCTGAGTCAGCTACAAGCCTTTATGTTATATAATATTCCCGCTAAAATAGCAGCATTATTAGTTTTGTATTTTATTAAGATTTTATTGAGAAGAGATTGCTTTTTTTTTCATCAGGTGATTCGTAAGAATCTTCTTCGGTTACTTTGATGCATGATCAATGAACGATTTTATAATGTTCTATTTCTGAGAGATGTCGAATAAAAAAGGTCAAATAATGGGTTTGGGGTTGTCAGTTTACTTCAAAGAACACAGTGAAGGGTATTAGACATCTCAAACAGGACTAGGTATTGTCAGATTTACTTCGGCTCAGGAAACGAATACACATCGTTTGTAATATTTCACAAGTTTTTGCTTATCTGTGAAAAACTTATGTTCCTTGGAATGTAAAAATCTAACTTTTAAATTCGCCCACTCAAGGGGTCACGGGTTATCATATTATTTATATATATTTATTGATCTGTGCATGATTCCAGACTTTTGTTATCCTAACAACAAAATTTCTCGGTCACTCTTTTTGAATAAGCAGCAAATAAATGTAAAGTTACTTCAATTGTTGTGCTCCAAGTTTGGCGGTACTTTTAAGATGCATGTTTTGTTTATAGCTGATATTGACACGCGCGGTTTCCACCAAGGAGTTTAGAATTTGAAAAACTTGGAATGTGTATTCCTCTTGTCTCTAGTATGAAATAACGCATTATCTTATTTAATCTACCGAAAAGTTGAACGATTTCAGTTTTCCAAACATCGCGCTTGTTTACATCTCTAGATAACTTGCTCAAACAGGGTAATTGAAAAGCCAAAGGGGATGTAATTTCATTCACCGTGCGGAATGACGGGAAACATTTGCTGGAGAAAGTCAGGCTATTGTGTGTCTGTTTTCGCCGCTCTTGTTTCCAGTTTCCCGGATCATCTGTTGAAGAAATATTTTATAAATAGTAAATTAACATGGATCGGTTTTACATACCATTGTTTACACTATATCATAGAGTTATGTATGTTTTCCCGCGGTGTTCTTTCATTGGCACGCAATAGGGTGCAAAGAACAACTGGGAAAAGGGCATGAGTCGTGTTTTTGCCAAAGGTCAACTCTGATTTAAGATAATGAAGCTCCAAATGAATGTCCAACGGTAGACACCCTAGCTGCTTATAGGATTTTCGTGTTGAAGCTTTAGGATGACTTTGAAATTTATATGATAGGCCTACAGTACTAGTAATCAGTTTTGCAAGCGTTACACTTTCAGTTTAGCTAATTTTAGTGAGTAGTTTGCCTTTGATCCTCCATTCCTAGATACCTAGATTCCGAGCTGTTATACAGCTGTAAAGTCCTGCCACACGTGAATCTTGTCAATGTCATAACCAATACAAACTAACTACCATCTTCACACGTCTCACCATCAGGAGTCTTATCTACCGAGTCTTCAAAGTAGACACGCTGCTATGTATCTTGATCAAAGTCATTCTGTGCAGATTCTTTTAAGAATGTTTCCAGTAACAAAAATAAGTACATGTAGTACTTAAATTCCATGTGTCATTTGACTAGACGCTAGAATTAGTCTAATATGCTTAACCAGTAACCCCCAACAAAAATCCTCATATAGTTTAAGTTCAATTTTTTGAGAACCGTGTACCTAAAGAAAGAGATGGAGGGGATTTGTAAACGGTTATGGGAAGTGGGTTGGACAGGATGAAATGATAAAACTAGAAACCGTTATCGCAAGCAGTATCGCTTGTCATCTCTGACGCTAACAGAGTAATATTGGAGCTGGAGTCAGAGAAAGCAAATGCGTTTTTCAATTTTGCAAAAATCTAGATTTTTATGTTATAAAAAAAAACACCCCATTTGATTTTTGATGAATTTGAAAATTTTGAATTTCGAAAGCGTAAGTAAATTTGATTTGCATTTTTGTGAAGTTTGATAAAGGTTCTCCAAGCCGTCTTCGAGGAGAGACAATGGACTCTGTGTTTGATTAACGTTCATTATCCCCGTATTTCGTTGAAATAAAAATCCTCTTCTAACAATCTTTTACAACTTTATTTTATAATAAACAGGAGTGTTTATTCATTGAAATCAAATCATTCTACATTAATAACTTAAAATTGTAAATAGTGTAAGAGAAAATTCATTTAGAACTTGATCGGTAAGGAATAAACTATCTGAAAATAAATGTGTAAAGTCTAGTATTTTAAGAGTTGCTTAGAAACAAAATAAATACACAGGTGCAATGCGTAAATCTTAAGATTATGTGATCATTGCATTGACATTTGTTGACATATGTCTGAGATCATATTAGAATGGAACATAAGTGTTGACCAAAAAATTGAAATTTCTTACTTTGCCTAGGATAAATTTGAAAAGGTTGTTATTAACGCAGGGTTCAACCAGATAAAGGACACAGCTAGATACGTTCTCGATTATCAGGAAGGCAAATGCAAAGCTTTTATAATGTACGAGTTCATGTAAAATATAGTTTAAAGATCTTTTGAAATTGTACCTTAAATTCCGGTAATTGTCTATCTCATTGACACCCACGGTCAATCCGAACAATATTTTATCATGTAATATACATAATAGGAAGATGCAGCAGGCACGGCATATAAACCATCTCCACAGAAGTTGTGATAGAACAGTTATATTGTGCTGTCCAGTTTGATACCTGTCATGATTAGATCCGACATAATGCATTTTTTTTTTGCAAAATATTCAATGCATATCTATTCAGTTCAAATTCACAAAAATTAAGCATTTTTAAATCTATGTATACTCAATTAAATTTTTAATGAAAGAGTCACTATAATTTGACAAGCTTTCACAGCTGATTTATTTGGAAATTTGGGATTCTTATTGTCTATTTTTTTTCTTACGAAGAGCTTGGGGTTGGTAACATTCTGTATTCTAGTAATCGCTTCCTTGTATGATTTTGCTTAAAAAAAAATATTTACATTAAGTATGTAATGTAGTTTTTAAAATGCAGAAAACGCACTACTAAATTACTCGAAGCATATTCAAAAGTTGGCGTAAACATTGATCATGGACTAAAGGGCACAATCCTTTATTAGCACTAGAACTTTTGTGTATTTTGTATCCTTAAGATATATTAGGGAGGTCTTCAAGCTTTCAAAGGATTGTGCCAAGGGGCAAAAATATGACTCCTGCCATGAATAAGTTCACATGCATACGGTACAGTAATAGACAAAAATAATAACATTTATTTGATAAGTACTTAGCACCTGTCCAGTTGAATTGTTTACCCACTTATTTTCAATTTGCATGTAATTTTAATACATAATTATGTTTTTTTCTTTGCTCAAATTAATTAATGTTTTGGAGAAGAGATGAAAACTTTTGAAGAGTGATATTGCTGGAATGATCATACAAATAAATTATGCACCGAAGGCCTTTTACCGTCAGCGACCGAATTTTTTATCGTGAACAGAACGTGTCCAGAGTCATTCTAATCGCTGGCCAAAGGTGTACAAAACTTAACATTGCTGATCAATCAAAGGAATTACATCATGCTAATGTACTGAAAATAAATAAAACGCACTTAGACCCACACCTCCGTTACTATAAATAACCTGTACAGGTGTACCTACGTCTGGGGGTGGGGTACCACAACACAGGACATAAAGCATCAGAGACAATGCAGGGGTTCTACGTGATAAATAAGTCAAGGAAGGATGAACTTCCTCAAAGTAGGAAATGACACATAATTCACACAGAGAAACACTGCATATAACAATGACCTCTTGATGTCTTTCTACTCACATTAGTCACAAAATACTCAAAAGAACGTAAACATGACTTGATAACTAATTAGTTTTTTTTTTTTTGTTGTGGTTAATTTTAATTAGAAACTCCAAATAAATAACCGACACTCCTAGCCAAAGACACTTATATTAGAGCTGAAATACAATACAACAAAGATTAGCAGAAATTAACCTTTAATAATGAGATGTGTTAACATTTTTCATTTTATTTTTAATTAGAGGGTAAAGTGGAAGTAACCAAAGATGGACAGAAGTTATGTACGATGGGGCCCGCCAAGGTGTTTGGGGAACTGGCCATCCTCTACAACTGTACCAGAACTGCAAGTGTCAAAGGTAACTATTGTAAATCACACATTTCCGCGGGCTCGAATTTTCGTGGTATGAGGAGAAAAACGGTAGTTCGTAGTTTTGGGGTTCATAATTCCTGAATTACTCTATTTCACATTTTATGACAGACATGAATTCGTCTGTCACTTTATATACCATACCAAGCAAAGAAAATTAACCTCCACGAAAGTTTGTGAGTACACAGTATCAGAAACAATCATAAAACACTTTTTCACAATCAATCAGCGTTTAATGTAAACCTGTCTGATAATATACTTCCTAGAACTCTTTGACTTTACAGGTATTGGAGAGTAAATTGCATACCGGGGTATATTTAATGATGAAAGAAAATTTTGTATAGCTATCTTGAATATATCAAACTGTGGACAACAAAATTACAGAAGCATGTTCAAATTGAAAACATGTGATTGACTTAAAAGTGCTTTTCAATGACGCTGTTCAAGTTTATTCAAGAAAAGATATTGTTTCCAAGTAGATGTGATATGTTTACAGTGCTATCGATATAGGGTGATAAAGTGTATTGCACAGCTACCGTTAAAAGCGAGAACAGCGACAGACTACGCTGGGGGAGAGAACTGGATAAAGTTTCTGTGCACTCTATGCCATAAGCAGACGGAATACTCCGTAGTAAAACCTAGTATAAGAACAAAGATCTACAAAAACACATTTAAATCTAAGGTTCATTCAAATAAAATTCTCTTTTAAAATTAATGAATTGTCAATTGAAAAATATACATATTAATGAAAGTAAACACACAATTTCAGCATACATACAAAATGAAAACGGGTTAAAAGTCAATCCAGTAAGAGTTATCCTTCTTTATCAGAGGATCATTGAACCTTAACACTTTTATTGATTTTGTAAAGAAGAAATATCAAAAAGTTTACAATACTATATATTATGATCATAAGGATTGTTACTGATTTAGAAAACAAACACACTTAATTCAATTAATTCATTTATTGACTATATCATATATTGACGTACAATAACAAATTATGTTAGGCCATTATTAACAAATTAAAATGCATAAAAATAAAAATAAATTTATAAATATAATGCGATCTATATATCTCCAGTCTTTCATTAATAACAAATAAGTGATAGTTCATTAGCATGCTTTTACAGTACTCCAGCATGCCAGAGGTTCACGGCGAGATACTTTTGACTTGGCATATGAGGAGCGTAGAAATAACCAAGGCTCTTACTTGTAGGATTAGCTTTTACAGCAGAGATTTTTTTTTTATCTGAAAAGATAAAGAAATATTGTTGTCATATTTTGAGGTCACTTTTGCTATCGCTGTCCGGTTTATCCATCTTCATACGTCGTACAATGCCCCCTTGCTACAACAGCTAAATGAAAAATATTAAAGATGTTATGCATAAGCATTTATGCAGTTATAAAAAGGAACATAGACAATGATGTAGTATGAAACATGGTTTAATATCCTTTCATTAATTGAATTGTAGCCCTGGTGAACTGTAAGCTGTGGGCGATAGACCGGCCATGTTTCCAGAGTATAATGATGAGAACGGGGCTAATGCGACACGAGGAGCACATGGAGTTCCTAAGGAGGTCAGTCTCCCTAATCACTATTCTGATATCAATAGAGCAACCTAAGTCACATTTCATAGTATTATATACCGACGTAACGTCAGGAATTGCTTCTAATAGGAAATAATACGCTTAATCCGTTTTCAGCTTACATTTGTAGTACAGTCTTGATAATAAACATGTAGTGTTTTATATGAAAATAATGGATTTTTTCTAACCAATAATGTTGTAACAAAAAGAAGTATTATTACAAGGTATGTACACATTGACAGACTACTATATTCCGGAATAACGTCAATTTTTGTCTTGTCCCGTTGTAACAGAAAAATACCTTCAACAGAGTTTATTTTAGAAAAAAAGTTGAAAAATCTCGCATCTCTTTGATATTTTACAGTTCTCTTACATCATATTTAGACATAATACGTTTGTTGACAACCTCTATTAAGAGAATAGATACCCACATCCTTTGAAATAAAATATGTCCCATTCAATGAAAATTTAGTGTAACGCATTTTCAGTGGTGAAAAAAGAAAATTTTGTCGGTAAAATTTACAAATTTGAATTGATATACAATGAGTACTTTTAAACAACAACTTGTTCCTAAAAGATAATGAAATTTTTCCAGGCGCTAAAGTATTTAATCAAACATAATCCGTGTCTTGCAAATATGTCCCGCTGCGTAATTGACGCTATGTCAAATATATTTAGTTAATAGCTTATAGATTTATTCCGAATTCAAGAGGCAATATTTATTAAAATTTATATCAGTGGAAAGTACTGAGAAATTACTTTTGATACTTATAGGTTTCATCAGATCTTACCGGTAAATAAGAAAATTACTAAGGAATCGAAATGTCTTGAAATGTCCCCAGCTTCTTAAAATGACGTTTGCCATTCTAAGAATGCACGATTTGGGACATACGTCAACGTACATTTCCTATTAATTTATTTGCGTATTGTTGTACCCTTCATTCTTAACATGTTAATCTTTGATTATCACCTCTCTGTATCCTTAAATTGCTTTTTCTGTTGATTTTTTTTTTAAATGATCACCATAAAACGATTATCGCATACAAATGTAGTTATACTTTTAAATCCATGCAAGTGCAGAATTTTCTTTTCATGTGCAAGAGAGAAAACAATGATACATGTAGAAAATTAAAAATACAGCGTAATTTGTTTTGATGATCTGCTTTATCCAAAAAAAAAAATATTTATCCAAGTTTCTGTCAACAAATTACTATTAATAATTACTTCAATGGGATTACGTGTAATTTTTAAAAAACATATTTAAACACTGCACGTAAACAATTGATGTTGACGTCGTTTTGACGTTACAACGTTGAGTAGCAATTCCTGACGTTGCATCACGTGTGGTCCGACTCTTTCTGTGCACCATATACCAGACTTCTGAGTCAAAGATTTAGAGTGAAGTTATTCCATACTTTGCGTATACCTTGCTCATGATTCTTTCTATATAAGCTAGGTTTATAGCGATATAAATTTGAAATTACAACATTCAAAATTTTGTTCTCACAAGAGAAACAGAAATGAAGTAAATATTCTCCCTATCCTTCAATGATAATGAAAGAAAGGAAATAAACCTGCACGACATGGACATCTCTTATCGTATTTTGGATTCCTAAAAAAAACATGACTAGATCACCTATTACAGAAGTTTATAAAGCCCATAATAAATATAACAGTACTCTTGTCTGATTCTGACAGAGAGAATTTTCTCCTCAGTGCTTTACCGCCCATTGGTCATGTTCTATGATGTAGATTAGAGTTATCTTTCTTTGTTCCTTGCTATTCGATGCTGTGCTGCCAGTCCAATTTTTAACGGAATTCCTTTGTTTTGAACATATTTTATTTTATGGATTTCCTTTAACATTTTGAAAAAAAATTGAAAACTTTGCTACAGACCATTATTCGCCTTATAAAATATATATTGAATAATTAAACGTTATTTATTTGATGCTTAGGTAAGACAGTGCTCAGTGTTATTCACTGAAAATGAGGAAGAATTTGAATTTAATGTTATAAAATGGTGCATGCAATATTTTTATGAACAACAAAGCTGCAGGTCTTTCGCTCGATGGTCTGATTGTGAAAGACTCGTCCATCCCTTTTGTAGACCAGCGAGCTAGCTAAGATCATCATATGCATAAAATATAGTATATATATGCTTAGAACCTACAACTACCTATTTTAGCATTAAAGATTTAAAATAACAATGAAATTTAAATATAAAATTCTTGGAATGAGTCATTATTTTTTTTTTTCAAGTTCCAAGTTCTTTACTTTCTCTCAAAATAATGTACCTTTTTTCTGGAAAAAGAAGAATTTTAATAAAGTCTGATTTTTGCAAGTGATGTACAATGTATTATATTTAATAACGAATCTCGTGTCATAAAATCACATAGGGTTTGTTTAGATCTTCAATATCTGCTGGTTTATAGCTGACTACACATTATATTATTTTCATATAATGCATTTGATGTCGATATGGAATGTACATGTCTATAAAATAAAATCACGAAATCAGCTGGAAAAGAAAAGCATGCTGCCAAGAGAATATCTGATCGTAAACAACTCACACAAAACAAAGGACGACTTAATGAATTATATACCGGCAAAACTTAATAAACGCATGTATCTTCATTCATAGAATATTAGTCCCAGCAGTTGGTGTTTGCTTTCAGAACTGTTTTAACATATACGTCATGTATGTGTCCGACTTTCGGAAGCCCCTCACAACATACAGTTATTAAATTATACAAATAAAATCATTTCCTTTGTTATCCTGATGGTTGAATTATTATGCTGACATTTCAACCGAATTTTCAAAATCGGTAATCTGGTTAGCCTATATATATGCATATGAAACACACACACACACTTTCTTTCTGGATACTTAAGGGTGTATTCAAGGTCTAAACACCATTATTTTTATCAACTGAAGACAAACTTGTGTATGATTATTTTGTATTGTCAAAGACGACGTACTAATGATTTCAATGTCGTCTTTGAGTTGGCATCTATATATCTGTACTATAATCATCCTGCTGTGTCGACTATATATAAAGTTTATCAAATCATAGTAACCTACATGTATATCAAATAATCAGCTGTGTGTTTCTCCCTATCTGACAAAACAGAATCCCCTGCTTTCCTGAGCAGAAAAACTCCCAGTTCCCTGTAGATTCTTCGTTATATCTCCAGATATCTGGCTTGTGGGGGCCAGGTCGGGGATAGCTGCTCTCGATTTAGACCTTACGAATATCGTTTATCATTCATTTATCAATGTAAGCAGAAAACATAACTACATTTTATTTTTAGATCTGATAACCAGTGAAAAGTTTAAAACCTTGAAGTTGATTCTAGCCAATTTTTCTAAGAAAATTGTTTTTCGCTGTTCATTATGTTTGAGTGGCTCAAAAATTAAGGAAAATTTTGTATTATGCGTTGGGGATGCTATATTTACTCTTGTCAAATAAACACGAATTATTTTAAGTTCGAAATGATGCTAATGAATTGGTGAGAATTTTAGGTTAATCCTTTAGGAATGTGAGAATGCTCGCAGTTTTGAGGTGTACTTGGTCACTTTTCTAGAATTTCAATAAATTAGTTTTTCTTGTAACTAATTCTATTTTTGATTTTAATAAAAGATTTATAACATTTGCATTGCATACTAAGTATAGCAACCTGAAAACAACAATTATATCACTGGCTAGTTGCGCAGCATTTAAATCCATTTTTATCAACAAGTTCACTCTGAAGAGTTTCCATAATTTCCAAGACACTGCAAATTATGAGATAATTTACTTTTAAAAATTTTAATTTAGTTATAAGTGATCTAGTAGTATTTTCATTTATGAATATATATGTTTTACTGAACATGAAAAGTGCCTGGCTCAAATTAACGAAGTTCATGTATGAAGGCGAAGTAGAAAAGAGCAGATGGCAGAAAGATAATTCATGATAGAAAGATGTTTGCCTCATGTTTTGAATTACTTGTATAATAATATAAATAGATTGATCAAAGGATTTCAGGCATGATTTGGTGAAGGTCATTACTTTGAGATTTTTATTATGTTTGACCTTGTAAAAGTGTAATATTAACTTGCTTATAAAATACAATTTATGCATAGTCATAAAATGAAAACACAACAAAGCGATGCCTTTAATTATTCACTAGGTGCTGACGTAACAAACTATAAATAATCCTTGGTAGATCTTAATAAGAAACATGCATTTCTCATAAAAAATCTAATTCTGATATCAATTTAAAAAGATTCGGCACATGCCAAATGGTAACATTTTGGTTTGATTTTTATCACGCCATTGCGTGACAATCATCTTATACCTCAGAGCTGGAATGGAGAGCTGGTACTTCGTCAGAATTCTTCACCTGCAGGCAGGGGTTCTTAAGCGAAAGTTACTGTCAACTGTGATAGATAATTCCTCCTATTTCCCTGTTCTCGGAGAACTCTTCAGGTTCTTCGCCTGCTAATTTCGATTTCTGTTTGTTTTGGCAAGAGGTGCGAGAATTGTTTTAGCGAGGAAATTGAAATGCGTGATTTTGTTATGATTTAGGGTTATTGGGCTGGTTAACTAGGCGTAAAAAGGAAAACTCTGTTTTACAAAAGTACACCGAAATCAAAAAACTGCACAGAACGATTGTTAAAAGCCTCAGCTTCTTTAAATAGCCATATTCATCTTATCTTTGATAACCTAATGTTTTAAATACTGTCCTTGATGGAAAACATAGTAACACGAGATTAACTCTTAAGAAACAGTTGTTTTTACATTATTTAGGTAGAATAAAATACTAATGCTTTTTTAAGTCAATTTTTAAAACTTAACTTCTACCGAAATCTTGGATTACTAGATATCCTAGAAATCACCTTGTTATATTCTTTTCATCAATGTCAGAGTTAACGTTAGCAAAAGCGACATGATCTGTTATCGTACAATCTTCAATTTTACGCTTTTGAGTTTACATTTTCTCCACAAACTCTGTGAGAAGGCTTTTAAGCATGTGATCAGTGGGACCTTTATTATGTAGGCTCCTAACATTATGAACCTTATACTTTACCACCAGCACGGCGGCAGCCATAAAAACAGAGCTCTCTGAAATAAGGACATCTTATTAAAAATATGTTTTAATATCAGTAAAATAATTTGTCTTAATTATAATCTCTTTGAATGCTCCTCAATGTAAGATAATTCATTCTTTGCGTCAGAGTAACATTTGAAACATAGTTTGGTAGTGCCCTCTCAGCTTAAAATATTTGGTTATGACCCCCACTCCCAAAAAATGAAATTGCTTCCTATATATAGAACTTTAAATCTTGTTTGTTTTTCGATAATGTTTTCGGTTATTATTTCAACTTTAAAGATGAAATGATGGATTTCAAATAGGATTATAAATTCCACGTCAATAAAGATAATACAAAATTTATTCCTTTAAAAACACAAGGACCCGGCTTTCAAAATATATTAATGATGAAACAGACCAACAATAGAACTATAAGTTTCTTCAAAATTGTTGAAGCAGTCCTCTAAAATACCATTGTCAGTCTCTATGAATGTTGATCAAGTTCTGAAACTCGGTCATCAGTTTCTTTGAAATGCTGTTGCAGTTTTGTAATACACAACTGTCAGTTTCTTTTGGATCTTGAAGCAGTTCTATAGTCAGCATCGCCATGCAGTTTCTTTGAAACTATTGATTTAGTCTTATACTATATAGTTTTTAGTTTCAACTTTCTCTTTTTGTGAAATATTGATGCAGCCCACTCCTGTAGTTCAATTGATATAAATTTAGTCCTATAACACAATTGTTAGTTTCTTTGAGAGGTACAGTACATGAAGTCTTAGAATAGAAATGTCAATTTCTGTTATGCGGTTTTATAACAGAATTGTCAGCAGTATCTATAAAAGCGTCAAAACACATGTTAATCAATCTACCTCTGGTTGATCTGGCAGAATTTTGGACGATTTTCACCCATAGTACTAGAATCTTCCTTGCCTGCAGGTACTTTACGAAAATTCAAAGAAATGTTTCGTCTGTTCTAAGATATGGTGCTTTTACTGTTCTCACAAATTTAATTTTTTTCAGAATAAAAAATAAAATGACCATAAAGAAATCAAACACGAAAAACGCGTAAAGTCTGGAGGCGTCCTTGAGAAATTCGCCACATTAGATCTTTATTTAAAAGCAGTGATAGGATTGATGGTTTTTAGTATATATCTATGTAATGTATCTGTATGATGTGTTATACATGTATATATTTTGCCTGACGTACAATCAATGTAATCTCGAGATTTCTCAAGCAAACTTTCCGTTACTTTTTCGCACATATCAGTGACGTAATCGACAGGATCTGTGTATTCTGTAGTAGGTTTTCGATGTGTTAGCACTGAAATATAAACAAAGTTTGAAAGGGCCTGCACAAAGCGTCTCAATGCAAAGTTCTTTGAGAGGTTGTATCGAACGACACGTGGTCAGTAGATGTTAGGAGATATACTATGTAGAATGATAAGCGGGCGGCAGTGATAGTTCCGGAGAGGCATGGTGCTATTGCTTCCTAGGAACATGTAGTTGTCCACCACGGCTGGTATGAGAGTACAAGATAACCATTTAATTAGACGACGATTTGAGAGAATAGCGAAAAAGTAAGCAGTCCTGGCTTTTCCTTAGGAGTCCCGACTTTATGAAGATATCGTTAATTAATTAATTTTCTGATATTGTGTTTCTACTGTATTTACAGTGTTCCAACGTTTAAACAACTTCCAGAGGAGTTAGTCAGCAAGATTGCTGATGTCCTCGAAGAGGTAAGCTAGTATTTCATCCTAGTTTTGTAGTAAATGCAAATAGTATTATATTAATTTTAAAATATTTTTATTGAATATTATTGATTTAGAAACAAAGCTGTTTTAACATAGATAGAAAATGCATGCAAATAAAATCAAACTTTCTTTGAGATTGATTTACATTTCTCCATGATCAAACTTTCCGGTACTCCAATGAAGAGAGTGTTATCATTTTGGAAATAAAATGATGAATTAAGTTTCCTTTGCTTTAAAGAGTATCAAAACTGTCTAAGCAATAGAAATTTCAGTGTGGACAAAATTAGGGAGAATTGGCTGTTTTGGACATTATACAGAAATTTCTAAGTATAACAAGGTGTTCTGGTTAACATTAAGATCTCTAACGAGACGTTTTAGACGCAAAAATTTGGACACAAGGAATGCATTGTTTGATTTAAGCAGTGAGGGTCTGATCAACTGTTCACTAATGATGTTATATGATTTCAAGCAGGCCTTGTTCTTACACACCCATGCTAGAGCTTTGTCTTCTAATTAACGTTTTAAACTTGTTAAATGAATTCGTTTCTTGAATGCAAAACAAACCACTTGCCACTATCTGTGCTTAACCGAGGAACTTCATTTTTCGGTGAAGGTTACACATATAAAATGCATTTATTTCTGTAAGTGTTGTGTAATAACGAAATATTTGTGGTTCAAAATATTGTTATCATCAATTTGCACTCCAAATAAATATTGAAGTTTAGTTTTCTTGTACTGGTAAATAACATGATTTAATAATTCTTAACTTTCCACAGGCGATAGATTGATGAATCTGGGGATTATGAATTTTCTTTTTTACTTCGGATTTGCATCCATTTAAAATCACTTAAGTTAGATAAATGTTACCCATCACAAATCGTTAGTGAGCCACTGTTTGTTTATTACGTTAACTATAAGTTCGTATACACAGCGTACTTTAAAAACTTTTTCAATAAATAAATTAAATCTTTTAAAAATGAAAGAAAATAGGAATATATTGTTTATTTTATGTAAAGGGACCAGGGTAATTTTAAAGCAATATGAGTTGCAACTTTGATTTCGGAATTTTTTTGTTGCAAAATTGTAAATAACTATTTCAACGATAGAAAAAAAATAACGTTTATAAACTTATGTTGTTCATATTTGCATGGAAGAACTATTTATAAGCTTCGGTTGAATCAAGATTACATTATTGTCGTTCTGTACAATAATGATTTCTTATATAAAACTGGAAATTGGATTGTGTATAGAAGCCTTTCTTCTGCTTTTTTTAGTCTAATTGATCATAAAAATTTAAGTTACATACAAATTTATCATAATAATATATAATAACACATTTTAACAGCAAAATAAAATTTCAAAAATGCAGCTCATATTGTTTTAACAAATCGTTCCATCTCTAGAATCTGCTAAATGAGAAAATGGTGATTGTATGTTGGGAGATAATGCAAAGGAGATGGGTGATCAAGGCGTTCAGAATGCGCTGTAAAAATCTTATTCAGTTTGTGAAATTGGTATTTAAAGTAAAGTTCTCTTAATTGAAATTTATATTGGACAAAAACTGATGATGCAACCCATGACTAAATAAGTATTTCTCTGAAAAATACGAATACTGTGTGTAAAAAATGTTCGATCGGAATGTCGTGGGTTCGACCTCGGTCGCGACTGACCTAGTTCGATAATAAATAGGTATCAACTGCTGAAAGAATGAGACCTTATAAAAAGTCGAGACTCCGTGTCAAGACAGGCGTCGGCACAGTAAAAAACTTCGGCTGTTCAATGGCCGTGAGTGCCGGGTAAAGATCGGACCGTCTGTGGGACGTAAAACAACATACATTGAATGATACATGTATATAGATACATATAGAGAAAATGAACAGCTCGGAAGTCCATTTAACACTACAAAACAGGAGCAGAGCATCTCCTGCTGACCAGTTACACACACCTTGTGCTCGTTGTCAAATTTGGGAAAAAATCCGTCAACAATTCAGTGTATAATTATACGTATACATAACGGCCTAACATTTAGTTTGAAAAACGTCACAATTAAAATAGCGTCAAATTGCGCTAAAATGTTTCGCTGATTTTGCTTACCTGGTAGCTCTATAGACTTTGCATGTTGAAAGCTGGAATTTCTATTATTTACATTTTTAAAAAATATTTGTTTAAATTAATAAACAACTTTGGAACATAATTAATTTTGAGGGATCAATTTTTTGGTAGAGATTCATTAATTTTATCTTGTTTTATTTCAATTTGTGCGTTTAAAAAAACAAACACTGCAACCAAAAGTAAACGATTTTAGTCTTTCTCCTTGAACATGTTGAAGTGTTTATGCACACTCTTTTTATTTAGAACTTAAATATGCATGGATTAGCTTCAGTTTTGAAAAATAAATCTATAAATCATTTAAATGCAACCCCCGAAATATTCTATTTTTCTATATATTACATGATATTAGTAAAAATCAATTTTTTCGCCTTTGCCCCCCCCCCCTTTCCTCCTCCCTCTACCCATTTTTTCCACGTAAAACAACGTCGCGTGTTAAGAAAAAAATAAAGCATGGCGAGAAAATTATTTCATAATGTACGAATTTTTTTTTTTTAGAAACTAATACAGTGTTTGTTGATGTTATGTAAACCCATTGTGACTTATAAAATACCTAGTTGGATAAAATAAATCCAAATTTTGTGTTTTGACATGTCTCCTTTTCACTGCAATAAAGGCTACCTCCAATTTTCTTTTCATTTTTTATAAGAAGAATGAAAATTGCATGATATATGTGAAATACAAAGCATTTCATCATTTTTTTTTTTAATTTGTCAGTTTCTTTGTTTATTGAAGAGTTTTAGTATGTAATTGTGTATAAAAACACGAAAAATGGTCCATATCTTGACAGTGCCCCCATTTAACTACAATAAAAGCAAGGTAACAAAATTTCATTCTAATTTTTCTCAGCAGAAAACAAATATATTTCCAAGAATAAATTTTTTTTATCATTCCGTTTTCGTAATTTTCAATTAGATCCGGCCTCGTTAATTTAAACGAGACTTGATATTCTTGTTGCAGCAACTTGTGTGTAAATAAGTACAGTAGCCTAAAAGCTAGGTGAACAACGAAGTTCTGATTGAAAAATTTATCAATGTGTAAATTTTTTCTTGAATTTGTTCTCGTCCAATCAAAACACATGGAATCAATAAATAAAATTAAGACTGGAATTACTCTCTAAAGATCACAGCGAGTGTTTTCTTTTTTTTTCACATAAAATATTTGGGACAAAATCTGCATCATATGAATACAAAAATATGTCTGCTTATAAGGAGGCGCAATTGGTACCCATGAGAATTCCAATTGATTGTTGGATGAGCTGGTCTCCAAAAATCAATCCAATGAAAATCAGACTTCTCAGATCCGCGTCGTATTCACTCTGCTTTAGGTACCTTAAGTTAAAACTGCTCTCCTTTGCTTTGTCGTCAATACTCCTTAAGGCGAAAATTCGAGGAAGCGACTATAACCCAATCAGTACACTTTTCTGGACAAAGTAGACAGGGAGAATTTGTTTATTTGGGGCGCACTTCACATGGTGATATTCATAGGAATTGATTAAGCAGCGTTTAATGTCTGTATCAATGTCTCTTGTTAGTCATCATAACCATTTGTCTAGTCACATTGACCCTGTAAAACTGAGCCAAGGAAGAAAGAGTGAGGTATTCTACACAAAGATCATTGTTGATAGGCATAAGACAATTTTAGTCGGAATCAAAGTCGCTATTGCCTCATTCTGGGGAGGTGATAAATGATCAAAATAAAAATCTGCTTGGGGTTGAAACTGTGGAAAGATGGATTTCTATTAATTTGTTGGGATTTTTGCTTTAAGGACAGACGAGACGTTCCTTAATAATAGATAATTTTTTCTAAGAGTTTGTCATTGAAGTATTGCTACTTAAACATATTTACTCACAAAAAATTAAGGTACCTTACCAGGCATATCTGCAAGATACCAGGGGTAGTTTTTCTTATATAATCCTTTGGGTAAGAAAAATGATTTTCCAATTTCAAATGTTTAAGTGTTTGGATTTTATAAAAACGTTTAGAAACTGGTTTAGAAATCAGAATGTTATTAAAATTTTGAATATTTTTCATACATTACGAAGATATACAAAACAGATTTTGAGGAACGTCTCATCTGACCTTAAAAAAGATCATAACATCCTTTTTCAAATTGAAATTACGATGAAAATCAGATAAAAGTTGTTATTAATGATTATTGATTGTGTACATCGATTGATTTGTTTATTGAACTGGAGGCTTACGTAAAAATGGCAATTTGCATCATTCAGTCGGTAACATTACTCTTCTTTAACAGTCACCTTTCTGCACTAAAGCTAGCCGAGCAATGCCATTGGTCTCTACCACTTGTTGAACTTTTCATTTTCTCCTAAACTCTTGTGTCATGATGATCAAAGGCAGAGCTAACTGGTGAAGTCAATGTTTACATTTTATGCTATATATTCTGGCAACTTTTGTCAAATATTTCATAACAGCAATAAACGATTTAGTAGAGCACGTTTACAGATTTGCACACCTTGTATACGGTGAAGGCAATACACGGGGGCAGGTGCGTGCCACAGTGCTTGTTTACACTTTTTCTTCCCTGTTACTGAGATGTTGATGGTCTTTGAACTGTCCCAGTAACCCTGCTGGTGAACCTTCTACCTATACTGGACGTTTTCTTTTAATAACCATCTTCACTCATCGCATGGGGTCGATCAGTTGTCGCTTGTTTATCTTGTACCTCTTGTAAATAGACGCACGATTCCTAGTAGTTATTCTAGAGGAAAGTGATGCATTGCTCATCGGGGTTTGGTGCAGACGTGAACTATAATGATATATATTTGTTTGCTTATAGCTACTATCTTAAGATTTTGTCAGCTAACATCATTGCAAAAAGATAAGACTGTAATATCTTTACTTTTCGCCATATGCCAGTGTAAACAAAATTTAACTTTTCCTGGAGGAAGAAATTCAGTGATAGACTTTATTGAACAATGCACCATTTATTTCAATATTTGCGCAGTATATTATTTGAAATAGTGTAATTATGTTTATGATTTTGTTTATTTGAGCATTTCAAATTGGATAATAAATCGCATAAGATAAGAGCTAAGAACTCTGGACCTATGATGTTGATCATCCTTATAAAACATTATGTATTATAAATAACCCCCCCCCCCCCTTATACAGAAAACCATTTAATTTTTTAATGCGATGTACAGTGAAGTGATTTTAATTCCCCATAGCTTTAGAATATATTGTGAAAGAACTATATTCGGTATATTGCATATACAGTGCCACAAAAGTCAAATTTTGAAAACTTCCTGAATTGTGCTGATTTCAATAAATTGTATGAGAAATATAAATTAACAGAACATATTATTGTTTCAAAGTACTAAGTAGTTTTTTCACAATTTTTGTTTTTATGACGTCACAAACTAGTCCGATTTTATATCCTTTTTCAATGGCACAAAAAGGAAAAATTTCAAAAAATTTTAGCTTTAGAAGTACTCTCGAAGTTGACATCTGAACGAAGCGTACATATTTCATTGATATTATCATTCTACACATTAAAATCAAAATATTGAATAACACAATGTTCGATGACTTTTACAAAATATCAAGGCCAGGAAATATGTACATTTTAACAACAATCATAAAAAATGATATTTGGTCATGTTTGGAAACAGCGTACATATGACGTCAGGAACACATGAAAATATTATTGCGTTGAGCATATACCCTTATTAAAGAACATAAATAAATATTTCTCCATCAAAGTTTTTTGTGCGCAATAAATATACAGTTTTTAATTAAAAAAATGTTTTGTTGCCTTCTCCCGACCGACTGGCTTGAAATGCTCGACTCAAAAATTTTTCTACCCCCCCCCCCCCCAAACCATTTAACTTTTTAATGCATTCTTGAAAATAAATTTTGGAATTTAAGCATTAAAATTAATTATTTTCTCACCTACCTACATGTAGGTACCTACCTACCGACACATTTTTTTTTTATCCTGAGTCGGGAGAGGACAAACAAACATTACTCTAGTATTTCAAAGTTGGCCTCACATGAATAGTCGTTATAAACGTATTTTACTGTATCTATAATACAACAGCTGAGATTGAGTCTATATTTAGTGTTTGTATACAAATGCTTCCGTAACATCTCTAATGAAAACAATCTCCATCCTCTGCTTATAAGAATTATATATCTGCCAGGGCATAGTTGTAATTTATTTTTAAAAAATAGTTGATAAAATTAACCAAATAAATGGAAATAATTATCAAAGACAGTGAACAAATTGTAACCTGCTGTCATTCTTTCTTTTACAGGCTCACTACAATAATGGTGAATATATCATTCGCCAAGGGGCTCGAGGAGACACCTTTTACATCATAGCAAAGGGCAAGGTACGTCAACACACCTCTTCTTTATAAACGCTTATATTTGAAATTCATTTTTTCGGGGGATGTTGAAAGTTTGCCAGTTTGTCGGGATATTGAGATGCATTTACGATGCTGGTTGTATAATAAGCGCAGATCTAAGTAGCTTTGGTGTTAACCATGGATGAATCAACTACAAACCGTTAAAGTATAAGATTTGATAAAGTGTTGTTTACAAACAAAAGAACCGAAAAGGCAGATTTCACTTTGATTTCGGAGAAAAACAAGGAAGAGACTTATCCTCTTATCTTCCTTGTAAGAATCCCCCTCCCTTCCCGATTACGCCGGTCTTATCGTTCAAGGTTAGGTTCGGCCACGACCTTCAGAACCTCTGATAGAGGCAGGATGTTAAAGGATTGATGACTAATCTTGACTGGTTCTCTGTTTGTACAGGTGAAGGTGACCAGGCGGCACTCCAAGACCGGGGATGAACAGCTGATACGCTGCTTACAGAAGGGCGAGTTCTTTGGGGAACGTGCATTACAAGGGTACGTGTATAACGTGTACCCAAAGAGCCACACTGTATTTCAAAAACAGCTTTTAGGCATGTGTCGGAATTTTCAAAAACAAGTTTGGTTTTAAAATTATATTTATCAAATAAAATCTTCAAAACGTTTGACTATGGCAGCACTGAGTATATTATTTAAAGCGTCTTATTCACACAGAATATTAACCAACATGGAGACACAGGCCATGCTTGGGTTGTTTATCAGTGTTATTCTGAAGATATTTGTAAATTAAAAGCATCTTCAGCATTCACAAATGTCCATTTAATGAGATACTCTCAAAAAGAGTTTAGGCCTCATTAAAAGTAAAGAAAAAATTGTTTTAGAAAGGATAAATTTTCTTATGCAGTCTTTTAATCTCTGTATTCTCTGGGATTAGTTTGATGGAATTTTGATTGAAGACCAGATTATTAAATTGTTAGGCATGTTTTATAAACATGATAAACATTTTTAGAACTTGTGAATTAGTAAGCCTTACTTGATCATGCCATTTTTATGTTATTGAAATAAAACAAGTTAATTATTAAACATGGATGACATTTTTTTTAATGGTTATAAAAATCCTATTCTTTTTTTTTTAATGATCCTTTCCGTTTTCAAAAATAGCTAGTTTCTTGCATTGGTTCAATTTCTATATGAGGGCTTTCAAGGAGATTAGATACAGGCAATACTTTTACTGAAAAATGGAGTTACTTACTGAAAGTGATTTAATCTAAATATTTTTAATTTTATCAAATTTTTCTCCAGCAAAGAATTTGGTCGGTACAATTGTAATTTCAGCTTGATAAAAAGTACCAGGTATGTGCAGATTTTGAAAGGCTTAGCCGATATCCTTCATTTTGTGTCTTCAAAAGTAATTTCTGTCACCAGCTTGATAACTAGTTTATTAATCGGATGATAATAAGACCCTAGAGACTTATGATCTTTGAGAAATGTACCTATGCTGTGATGAAAAATGTTAATAGCTAAAGTTACATTATATTTTGAGTGTCTGAAAAAATTGTAAATTGGAATGTCCAAGATATTGACACTTGTATGTGATATTTTTATAAGTCAATCTTTAATGCTTATGATGAGTTCCATGTGTTAACCAGTAACACAAATTGCAACGAATGGCTAAAGACGTAAAGGTTTGATCACATCTTAATTGAATGATAAAAAACTAGCAGTCTCTTTTTTTCTCTCGCTCTCTTTTTTTTTTTTTTTCCCTCCTCCTACCCAATTTTTTTGAAAAAAAATCCGTAAAACTAAAAATTAAATTTCTCTCGCCTTATTTGATTTAGCAGATGAACTCTGTGTAGAGTTAATTTTTTTTAATTCAAACGATATAAAAAGGTGTCAGTTAGATAAATTCGTAAGTTTGCTTATTCAAAAGGTAATTATTTAAGTTTTTCATTTATATGTTCATAGAGGAATAAGAATACACTGAATGTTATTTGGAACATGAATAAACGGTTTGATTTTATATGGCATAAAGAATTAGCAGTCTCTATTAACAAGAACTTTGAAATTGAGCGGAAAAAGTTCCGAGATATTGGATGAGTCCTTCTCTAAAACGTGTTTCAAAAAGGAGGATCACAATTTGTCAGGACTCAATAAAAATATCATTCATTTCAATGATATATACCACTGCGCTTGGGTTAGAAATGTAGACATAATTCTTATCATAAGAAGAATAATATTTCAACCCATCTTTAAAAATATTGATAAAAAATAGTCATTTTTTCCCATGAACTTCTTATCTACCTCGTTTTCCATTTTACCAGAAGTTTAAAAAAATAGCTTAATGCTTTCTGGTGGGAATGGGTGTGTTCGTTAGGAAGGCTCAGAATGGCTGTTCTGGTTAATTTTATTGTTCTCTATACCTAGTAGTCTATCTTTTCAATTATTTAAGCAGTAAAAGGCTGTTAAGCTATGGTGCTACCTTGAAAAAGATAGTTAAGTTCGCAGCATGTTAACAAGGAGATGAAATGGTTCGACATCCTTAAACTTAGCACTCTACAAGAACAGATGCTGTAAAATCGGTCATCATCCGGTAATTAAATATTGCAATTAGCGACTGTAAATGTATCCAGGGAACGCGTAAAATGTTTCAGAAAAATTGCACAGTTTTATTTTACTGTCTCGTTAACCTTGTAGTTGCTCTTACGAACCCAATTAGTTAACTACTTGTTCTAATTGAATTAACCCAAAATCTTAAGGCTGTTGCTACCTACCGACTACTACTCAGATGTGAATAGCTCCAACTTAATCACGTGATAATTTGGGGTTCTGTTTTTTTAGTATTCTTTGATTTCTCTGCGTGTTACTCTGCAAACTTCTTTCACACATTTGGGGAATGATTCAAGTAATATCAACAATTACATATAATCTTAAAACATTTACTCTCGCGTTTCTCTTTAAAATTATTGATTCAAAGAGATCGTTCTTTGAATCTGTCGGCAATAACAAATATCCAGAGATATTTGATAAATCTAAATTGAGAATCAGTGAGTCATTTTCCTAAAATTAGCCGAGAACCTGGCATGAGGAGCGATTTGACTGATCGGAGCGGTTGCTGTCTTCCGTTATAAGCAGCTAATTTGATGCCAATCTAAGCCCAGTCTTTGTCCTTTGTGCATGCTCATTCCCTGAAATCCTGACTTGGCTTGTTTTGTTTCGGAAGTTTGTTGTTTTATTGATGCAAAATTTGTTGCGTGATAGATCAGTAAACTTCTGTCAACAACCATAGAATATTGCAGACATCAAACAGTTCATATATCTCTGAAAAGATTTCCTTTGATTCCCCATTCTTATTATGTAATTATACTATACTTATCTTAAATCTTTTTGTAGGGAGGATGTTAGAACAGCTAACATTGTGGCGACGGATCCATCGGGGGTGGATTGTCTGGTCATCGACAGAGAGTATGTAACATTTTGTTTTAAAACTAAACATGAAAAAGAGTAGAGAAGAACTTTCTTAAAGCTTCCATAATTTTAATTTAGGGTGTATAAAACTTGTTATTCGTGCATACATTTTAATAACCGGTTTGTTATCTGAAGAGAAGTTTATATCTAAAAAATATTTTTTTTTTTAAGATCGTACTCGCAGCTGATAAGTGACCTTGATGAACTTAAGCGCGTGTACGAAGATGACGAAGAGAAGGCCGTGTGAGTACTATTTACGTCACTTTCCTGGTAACGCCATTTTGTGTACTTGTAACCTGACAGTTTATCAGTGTCATCAGAGTTCAGGGGTTTATTTCTGTTATTTTAGGGCTGATCAAGAGTTTATGAAGCTGAAGTTGAGCGATCTCAGTATTGTCGCCACGCTTGGAGTCGGTGGCTTTGGCAGGGTTGAACTGGTAAGATTTCCTTTCTTGCGGAAATTATGTGTGTACTATAAAAGGTGAAGACGTGAAAGATAACAAACATCGATACAAAAAACAACTTACAAATTAAGTAAAACATAGGACTGGCAGACACAGGCCTCGGATATCCCAGAAGTGGGATCAAGTATAACGGTTTGGAAACATTTTGATTTTATTCGCGTGCAAATATTTGAATTGTTTTATTACGTGCATTATTACGTCATTGCAAGTCGGAAAATTGAACACATGATTACACGTAAAAACTGGTCTATAGTAAAAACCACTTCGCCTTCCTCTCAAACAAGCAGGTGGCTTAAAGTTTGTAGATTTTTTTTCCAAATTACATTCGGAATAATTAGTGCAAATGACAACTTATAAAAGGAAAGGATACGTTATATAATATTTTCAACATCGGCTGTAACTTGATTACTATTAACAACGATCTTTCAATAATGTTGAAGTTAAGTTAAAACATTTAAAAAAAAAAAAAAAAAGAACTCCAATGGGGGGTCTTTTCTAGCCAACAAATCTTTTCGAAATATTTTTGTAATTATCAATTATTGAATTAGAGCACTGTACTAAAGCAGCATGCAGATCATGCACATGACAACGCTTTGGGAATCCTGACTGGAAAATTGGATAATGAAAAGTGCACTGTTTTAATGACCTCGGTAGATCTTTTTCTCATCCGTCAGTGAAAAAGAATTAAAGAAAACACAGATAGAGCTCGGGTCTGATGTTTGTTGAGGTCGATGTCGCGCCCTTTGAAATCCATCGGCGATAAGGTGCAGATTTCCCATAGTCGCAATCTGCACTGTTCCAATCTTACCCGTTGATTTGAAAGTACGAAATGACGTCATAACTGGTCGGTGGACGTGTCGTCTGCTGTTTGATCAGCTGATTTTCGGAGTCTGAAGGCATGTCGCACTTCATCTCCAGTCACTGGAATGTTTTCTGCCAAGTCAAAAGCGGCAAGCCCGGATAGTTTAATTGTATTAATAATTAACTTCGTTATATAAAGATTCCAATAACGAAAAACTCAGGTGTAATAAGTGCGATACCCGCTGACTTCGGCATGTAAATTGGGGAAAAAACGAGTAACGATCCACATTTATTACATTCTGAAGACGCTTTGTTTCATGTCGAATAATCAGCTTTCGCTAATCGTCTTTGACAGAATGCAACTATGTTCATCGTCAGCTGTTCCTACCAAAGGTCGTCTTTGAAGACATAACACATTATGAACATAATGAGAGAAAATTCTAGTACATATCTAACGCTCACATTTTATGTCTCTGTATTTCAATGACGTAATTGACGTTCCTGACTATGAAAACTCGATAACAGGCAAAGCTGCCAATTTGTATACATATTTATGAATTATATTGCGAAAATTTTCTACGAACGAAAGGACTTAAACTGATTATATACACGTATACATCATAATCACAGGCCTTTAGATCGCTTAGAAAAAAAATTGAGGTGTTAAAAAAAATACAATTTTTTAAAGCAATCCAAAGGCCTGTGATTATAATATTACTGGTATTACTGCACTTATGTAAAGAGACAAACAGTACTGATCTTATTTGAACAATTTATTTACAATAAAAGTTTAGGGTAAGGTTTAGAGTCGACACTTCGATAAATCATCCTCACAATGTCAGGGGTCCTGAGTCAACACGTTGTCGTGGACCCCTGGCTTGCGAGGATGTTGATAAATATGCAAATGTATTTTCTACTTAACTCTTTTTCTTAGGTTCAGGTGAACAATGATACGTCTCGGACATTTGCCCTAAAAATTCTGAAGAAGCATCACATAGTAGAGACGAGGCAGCAGGAACATATAATGAACGAGAAGAAAATTATGTCGGAGTCTCGCTCTGAATTCATCGTCAGGTACACTTCTATTCTGCTTGTTTCTGAACATTGTTACTATTGATTATCTGTAAAGTTATTATTTGAGGTAATATGTATATTTTCATAGGTTATATCGAACTTTTAAAGACCGGAAGTACCTGTACATGTTACTGGAGGTGTGCTTAGGTGGAGAATTGTGGACCGTACTCCGAGATAAGTGAGTATAAAACATTAAAGTAACGGGGGGAGGGAGGTATGTGTCCATTTAAAGGTAAATGAGATGAAAAATCACCATTTTCTGTCGTAGGGGTTCTTTTGATGACGCCACCACGAGGTTTTACACGGGCTGTGTTATAGAAGCCTTCGCCTATCTGCATGCCAAGGGCATTGTCTACAGAGATCTCAAGCCAGAAAATTTACTTCTAGATTCTCAGGGATACGTCAAACTGGTAAGGGACAAATAAATCCATATACTTGCGTCATATCCCAATACAGGTAGTTAAAGTTATATTGGCATTTTGTAATTTTCTCCTTGCTGACGTCTGTAAAAGTATAATTATTGTACATCATCTTTGGTACCTTTCAATGACAGGTTGACTTTGGGTTTGCTAAGAAGGTGGGTCTAGGGAGGAAAACCTGGACATTTTGTGGGACCCCAGAATACGTGGCCCCAGAAATCATCCTCAATAAAGGGCACGACATATCGGCGGACTTCTGGTCCCTGGGGATCCTGATGTTCGAACTCCTCACGGGAAGGTAAAGACATGGTCAGGTTTTCCATACTGCCACACAAAATACAAGTATTAAACCATAAAGGTGGCTATATTTCAATTTTCATCTTTTTTAGCCCACCATTTTCAGGACAGGATCCTATGAAAACTTACAATATTATCTTAAAAGGCATTGATGCAATTGATTTTTCGAGGAAAATCAGCAAAAACGCCCAAAATCTTATAAAGAAATTGTGCCGTGAGACACCCTCTGACAGGCTAGGGTTTGGCAGAGGGGGGATTCGAGAGATCCAAAAACACAAATGGTTCGAAGGCTTTAACTGGGATGGACTAAAGAAGAGGACGTTAAAACCTCCAATTACGCCTCATGTAAGTTATAAGAAAATGAAATACGTTGTTTTGTCATTGGTTTTTTTTTTGCTCGGTTTTCTTGATGTGAGATTGGTACATAATACCTTAATCGTTTTCCAGGTCAAGTCGGCGACAGATACCTCAAATTTTGACGACTACCCGGACGAGGATGACGATCCTCCACCAGATGACGTCACAGGTTGGGATAGAGACTTCTGATAACGTCATAAGAAATTGTGTAGTTTGAAAAAAATGTCTTTCTTGAAATCCTCGACTGTCGTGGAGCTACAACAGAATGCAGATCACGCCAAGTTGCATTCGGTATGCAGCGTGAAGGGCTTTCATAGTTACCATGGTGATCAGTGACACCATTAAACTTCGTCCAAAGGTCAGCGGATTACAAAGAATAAAAAACAAAGATCTGTGATGAAGTGACAGACTGTTGTTTTACGTATATAGTATTTTTATACATTGCTAAATGATGTGCCTTTTACAAAACTGCCACGTAGTTCTGTTTGTTAATGTTATAATGAGAGATAATGAAGCGTTGTTATAGAACGAGTAGGCTTAGAGATTGCTGATTTCTCATCTCATGTATTTATGTTTTTACATTGTCATCATAACATTCAAACAAAATTAAAAAGTTATTACATTTTCTAAGATTTTTCCTCAATGTTTGCTTCCCCGCAAACTATAAAACAAGTTAAAATCGGCATAATTTCTCAGTGCTGCATTAATTAAGTCATAACACGAGAGAATTAATTAGCATCGTAGAGTCATCCTAGTAGTCAAACTCCTGATCAACAAGAAGTTGCTCTGATGTGAATATACACTATTATGTCAATATACACAAGTTCAGTGACGGGCAGATGCACAAATGAATAGGAAGTTGACATCAGATACATGTAAAAAGAATCCAACCATATGGCTTGCCTCAATAAAATATATGCTAGAATTTCAAGCATCTGTAATGAGTACTTGCTGAAAAAAAAATGCGACAAAAATTATTGTTATGTATGATACGGACAGACGCATGGATAAACAGGAAGTTGACATCAGAAGTGAACAAAAATGAATCCTACTATATGACATGCCTCAATAAAGAGTGTATTAAAATTTCAAGCATCTGCGATGAGTAGTTGATGAGAAAACTGTGACAAAAATTTGTTATGTATGATCGGATGGACACACGGTTAAATAAGAAGTTGACATCGGATTTGGAAAAAAATATGAATCACATCATGTGATATATCTTAGAGAAGATTGTCTTAAAATTTCAAGCATCTGTATTGAGTAGTTGCTGAGACAACTGCGACGAAAAATTTTTATAGACAGACACACAGGCACGCAAGGGTAAAACAGTAAACCACCCTCTCCTTCGGAGCGGGGGTATAAATATACGTTTTGTACATATATCGAAATGAGATGGGGAATGTTTACTCCTACATCTCACCTGATCCCACCTCTGATGTTTTGAAAGGCCGGTGTTTGCTCAGCCAATTTGATTACAATTTTTGATTCCATATGCTTTTGAGCTTTACTTTATTTAGCTGTTTTTGTTAGTAGATGTATAGGTAAATCTTATTATCAATTTAAAGGTTCTTGATGTTGCATATTAAATTAATACTTTTGTTATTAAAAAACCTCATACCTTATAATTCACTTTGACCGCACATGCATTTAGAAATTAAACGAAAAAATAGCTGAAGATAACGGACAGTGATCGGTCTAAAAATCTATAAACAGTACAAATCTGTGACTACAGAAAACTTGGAAGGTCTGAAAATTCTGGTGATGGGATCGGGTGCGTGGGAGGAGTAAGCAGCCCTACAGACCGGTCACACCTTCTGCGAACCATACGGATTGATCAGGTAAAATCAACCAAAATAAGGCCCAATGATAGTTATTATTTCTATTTAAGTAATTATAACAAACAGGATTTACTAAATGCTGTTTTTAAGTGAGATTGTTGAAATCCCTGTAACATTAACTTATCTGTCAGTAGCCTACCTCGGCTTTAAAATGATGATACTCGGTACATACTAATATCGAATGAATTGGGAGATTTATTAATATATGCAGGTAATACCGGGAACTTACTACATAAATAAGGAAAGTTGACTATGGAAATGCTTAACCATCTCGTTTGTCATACAGTTTGGTGTTAGTTGGTCCTATGATCGGTAAAGCACACAAATACGAAGCAAATGTGACAGGCTTGGTGATGTCTTTTCAAGTCCTCTGGGAATTATCGATTTCACATATGAATGGAAGCAACTTTTGTTAATGATAATATATCGTCGAAATAACTAATTTTCAAGATGAAGGCCACAGTTTTCTTCTCATTATGAACTTTATATGTTTATTTTGCTTTATCGGAGTATAAAAACAGGTGATAAATAAAGGAGCACCATAAGTACCCACCGGCATTCAGTCAGTTTGATGGAAGACCTAGTTTTCGAAGACTACATTAATAATGTTGTCATTTTTGATTAAACTCCAGTTTTTACTTTCTACTTCCAATAAATTTGAACATAGCCAAGCAAATTCTCTCATTTATCACGCAAGCGAGCTGTCAGTATTTAATTTATAATCTAAACGCTCACTTTTGGGAACCACATCTGATTTACACTACTTCTAGATGTTGAAGCAGAGTAAGCCTGAAGTTTCTCCGTTAAGAAGTTCATGAGTTGGTTAGAAGTTAGGGTTTGGTCACGGGCACTGGAAGTTAATGTAAATATATAGTATGTGCATGTATAAAAAAAAAAAAAAGGAAAGGGAGGACACTCTTTTGGGTGCAAATTCGGGTTTGGGATATTGTGGGCCTTTCTCAGAAGACTTGACACAATTAACTTACTTTCAATAAATGTACCGTTTCGTTCCGCTCCAATGCCGTTCCTTCGAAGAAAAACGTCTTACTTCGGTTTATCCGCACTGAATAGAAAAGGTAAGTTCTGATTGGTCAATGTTTACATATTTGAATGTGCCGCTTCACGTCTATCCAGCTGCCATCTTGTGACGGAAAAAAGTATTAAATTTTATTTTATTATTGACCAAAAGTTTTTATTGTAAAATATCTCAGGAACAAAAGATATTCCACGCTCAACTAAAAAACACATGTTCTTTTAGATATTTTCCGGATTCTTTTTACCCACTCCAATGGGTAGAGCATTTGTTTGACCCTGAATGTACCTCTGTAAACTATAAATGCAGTTGAACTCCGTAATGTTTGAAATGAAATTTAGGAATAGGTAGGGTAGTTCAAACTCATATTGGTTGACTGGAATGTATAAAGTTTTAAATGCAGTACCAAAATGTGATTTTTAAGAATTTTATATTTGGAGAGAACATTTAATTGGATTTCCTGAAGTAGAATTTGAACCAAGTTCTTCTTAAAAACAGTTAATAATGAGCCTTACAAACAAAGACGATATTGTTATGAGCCTTTTAGGCTGGGACCTTATTATATTGCTTATGAAAAACAGATTTTAAACGTTCAAATTCTGATTTTACTACACATGCCAGGGTAATACTTTCCGATTCGAGTTTGTTGGTTTAGAATAAATTCTAATACACCATTTGCAATTATTTGTTATAAGAGAAATGGCGAGAATTTTTTCAAGTGCGCTATTTTGTACGCTTTATTCTTCCAAGTCAGCACTAACAAAGGAGCTTAAAGGCACAAAATAACTGCGACGTTTATTTATATTGCTGGCACGAAAAACAGATATGCCAAAATAAATAGCATCCTTGATGAAAAGAAAATTATAATTTGTTAGATATGTACTTTACAGCCTCGGATATAGCATAACGATATCATTTAAGTGGACATTGGTCATATTACAGAAAGAATGCAAGTTTTCCTGCCAGGTCTTTGAACCTGTTCTCTGTGATAGTATACTCAGTACTTTGCTATTAGTATATAATACCAAGAGAAAAGAAACGCACTTTACAGAAATATCTAACGTTTCCTTTCAATTATACATGAAATAGTAACATAACCCGCTTAAGTTTAATTTACTAAATTTGTCATGCTGTTAATTTTGAATTTAGTAGATGGAAGTGATACATACTATATTGATGCTCTACGAAGATCAGGGAAAAGGATTAAAGTGTTTACTAATTAGATTTAGACTGTACATGAAATATATGGAGATAACGAACAGTATTCAAGCTCAAAAGTCCATAAAAGAATACAAAATAGGAGCGGAGCAAACACAGACCTCCAAAACATCAGAGGTGGGATCAGGTGCCATGGAGTAATGAGCATCCCCTGCCGACAGGTCACGTCCGCCATGTGTTTCTTGTCATAATAGGGAATTAACGGAAAAATCCGTCGTCAGTTCAGTGTGTAAATGAGTAGTATGAAAAACGTCAGTCAGCATTTGACTCAATGATAAGTTGCATTCGCTGCCAAGGCCATTGTATCGACCATAAAACTTACGAAATGAAGACTTTAAACGAGACTGCTGATATTCTTGTTTCATCAACTTGTTTGCCAATAATTTACCTCCTTTTAGAAATTGTTCATACGTAGAGCATGCTCTTGCGTATTGAATCAACTGAGATACATAAACTTCGTTTACAGGCGATGAAGGTATATTGCTACATAGTAAAGGAAATTGACGATTGAAATGTTAAAGCCATCACGCTTATCATAGAGCTTGCTTGTTATATTACCATTAACGTCCTCTTCAAGTTAAATATATAAATATGAAACATGTGTCAGACTAGCTCTGTGGTATCGTTTATCACAAGCTCACCGTATCGACATGAGAATGGAAATTACATTCTACAATTGTTAATTGACAATATGTCGTCGATATATCTAAATGTCGAGTTGAAAGCCACAGCAAATGTTTTCTTCTTTTCATGTATAAGATTTTGACAAATTCTGCTTCATATGAATACAAAAATATGTCATATAATAACGGGGCGCAATTGGTACCCATGGGAATTACAATAGATTGTTGGAAGACCTGGTCTCCAAAACCACATAGATATTGTCAATCAGAAACTCAAGAATCTTTTTGATGTCAACTTCAGAGTACTTGTGTGTACAATCAGAATGTTTTAACAAGATACAAGAGTAACAAGACCAAGGTAAGTAAATTAACGAGTTTCATTTTTATAGATCGAAAAGCAGCTGTCAATGATATCAAAAAACCTTGACTTTAAATTATCGTTGGAATGGTTGTGTATAAAATTGAAAAATAGTAAGTTTTAAGTCGATTTGATAAAATCTATTTTCAAATTTTCCAAAAGTTCTTTGGAATTTTTAAGTATCCACATCCGATTTACACCACTTCTACAATATATTGTTGCACAGGTACGTCCGCCATGTGTTCTCTCATAATGAATTCACGGAAAAATCCTGTTAATAGTGTGTAAATGAGAGTAGTATGAAAAACGTCAGTCAGCATTTGACTAAATGATAAGTTGCATTCGCTGCCAAGGCCATTGTAGCGACCATAAAGCTTACGAAATGAAGATTTTAAACGAGACTGCTGATATTCTTGTTTCATCAACTTGTTTGCCAATAATTTACCTCCTTTTAGAAATTGTTCATACGTAGAGCATGCTCTTGCGTATTGAATCAACTGAGTATTTAAATTAACTTTTCAGGCGATGAAGGTATATTTATGAAAGGAAATTGAGAGAAAAAACTTTTCTGAGCTTGAAAAAAATCTACCATTAAGAATTTTTTTAAATATATATAAAAATGTGTCAGACTAGCTCTGTGGTATCGTTTATCACAAGCTCACCGTATCGACATGAGAATGGAAATTACATTCTACAATTGTTAATTGACAATATGTCGTCGATATATTTAAATGTCGAGCTGAAGGCCACAGCAAGTGTTTTCTTCTTTTCATTTATAAGATTTTAGACAAATTCTGCTTCATATGAATACAAAAAATGGAGCAAAGACCCACTCATATTTAAAGATTTTGTTAAAGCCTGAGAAAATGATCATTTTTGTTCTTTTTAGTGTGTGTATGCTTCTTCATGATGCAAATAATTTGGGGATTTAAATTGTAGAGATTTTACATTAAGTATACTTTAATATTAGATGAAATATCAAATAAAATTTGGATATTAGGCCAAAAAAAATTAATCAATAGTTTCTCAGGCCAAAAAAAATCAGAATTCAATGCGGCAATCAGGCTTTTTTTTTTTTTTTTTTTTTTTTGTTAACAAAAAAATTTGTATATTTTATTGCAAACTTTTAAGTTATGTTTCAAAAAATTGGAGTAATATGTATTCAACTTTAAATAATGTTAAAAATTTATTTAAAAGTTTTGATATAATACTTAAAATTTGAGAAATGTTTTGTTTTTTTTTTGTGTGTATGCTTCTTCAGTGGCAAATATTTTCTTTTTCAACTTTAGTGGGATCTTTTTTTTAAATTGCATAGAATTGATCATGCGGCCATTTTAATATCTGATGAAATATGAGAAATAAAATTTGGATATTATTAAGATAATTTTTTTCACTTCTTATCTTCGCCCGCCTTATCCCACCATCTTCTTTCGGAATTCAATATAGATATGGTAATTCAAATAAATTTTGGTTGTCTTGGATATTAAAAGTATTCAAAACTGACAAATCATTTTGAAAATTTCTTCCTTAGAAAGGAGTATGAATTGGATTACCACTTGTAGAATTAAATCCAAGTTTTTCTAAAATACAGTTTATATAATGAGCCTTAAAACAAGACAATGTTGTTACCTGCAGTGTCAGCAGGGATCAATACGTACTGATCTTGTAATCTATTTAATTTTTTTTGACTTCTGGATTATTGAATAAAGAAGGATAAATGGTTATTGTCCATCATTCGCGATTGTAACAAAGATCTGACACATTTAATCCATGCTGGCAAAGTGTCTTCTTTTTCCTCACATGACAGTCAAGGAAAATATGAAGAAATAACGTCACTCTTATCGACAGGAATAAACCCTATATTAATTTTAAAAAAATATATGATTGTAGAATTCCGATTAGAATGTGGTTTGCATAAACTTTCAATGTAGTTCAGATTCTAAATTATTCAAATCATACCCCCAAACCTAGAGCGGGATCATAATCCAAGTCATAATTGCATAGAAAAGATTCTTTAGACATCTTCTCACGAACAACTTTGCTAGAAGAAATGAAACTTATGAAAACTTTTTGATGTGCTGTACATTCTAAATTGTTGAAATCATGGGCCCTTAAGCTAGGTTTGGGAATTCTACATAATGCAATGAAAGGATTTTCTTCTCAATAATGTAAGTCTATGTTAATCATAATGATGTTGAAGCATCTCATTGCTGTGTGAATTTAGAGATTTTTAAGTGGGGTCATATTTTAAAAATCTTTTTGGAAATTTGAAGAACAGCAGGACTAAAGCTACTCAGGTGAGCGTTATTGCCCACTGACCTCTTGTTAGTTTCTATTTCACAGGAATTATTGTCTAGTTTGTTGTGAATGTTAGGAACATCAATGACAGATGAAAACGTGGCATAATTTACATGTATTCATAATTAAAGGCTTTGTCCGTTATGCATACTAACCCCACGTTTACAACTGTTGTTGATACCCTGGCATATACCTAACAAACTAGTGATTCCTTAAATAATCTATACCTGATAACAATATTCTCCACATCACTTTGACCACAACCTTTAACGTACATTTTACTTGAACTATGAACAAAGTTTTATGATCAAGTTGTTAAATGCCTTTTGGTGAACATTTCTTAAATTTTAATTTAGATATCTAAATAATAACTTTCATGAGAATTTCAATCAAAACAATATTTTAATACAGAGGCTATTTATAAAATAAAAACATTATAGTCACAAAACAAAAATGTATAAAACAAAAGATATTGTTCTGTCAATTGTAAGTATTTTCATTTCTAAAGATGATAAAATGCTTGGTCACTTTCACTCTGTGCACACTCACATAAACGTACAAGCTGTCACTCATGATATCACAAAGCATCACAGGCAAGGTAATGTCAGATCACACTGCTGTCTGAGTTGGAGGAACAGCACCGTGAACATTTGTAACAAGGCTAGTGATTGGACAATGACTATGTCTCCTCTTCTGTAGGAGCAGGATCACTTGTTTCTTCTTTAGAGTCTTCATCCTACAAGAGCAAGTGTGTGATTTTTATTTTCTTAAGTTAAACAGATTTTTTTTTTTTTAAATTTCATTTTTATACAATGCTTCTACTGACAAAAAAAAAATATTTATATTATTTACATGCATAAAAAATTAATTTCATAACAATTAATGCACGTGTTTTTTCTTTCTGGTCATAATTAAATTAAATCATATTAAACTCCATGCAAATCAATACTACACTGCATATGATTATTTAAAACTTAGCAAACACATGATACACTCAGTAAATCTGTAATGGCCGACACAGATTAGGACCTACCTTCTTTTCCTCTGAGGAGTCTGAGGGTTTCTCCTCCTCCTGTGTGGGTGCCTCCTCGGCTGGTGCCTCAGTCGCCGCTTTCTTTGCCTCCTCCTCGGGAGGTTCCTGAGCCTCTATCACAGGGGGGAGTTTTGTGGGAGAGGAACTCTCTTTGGCTGCCCTTTCCTCCTCAGCCTGAAAATGCGTAATAATACACATGTAGTAAGTTGATATTTTTCTTTGAATGAAATCAATGTTTTCTCCAAAACAAACATATCAGAATAATTAGAGATGAAAATTTTTGGAAACAATTCGTTTTTCTCTGAATATGATTTTTTGAATAGAAACAATATACACAATTCAATGGAACAAGATGGACACAGGTTATACAAAAAGCAATAGAATTCCTGTGAGTCTAAAGCTCATGCTATAGTGAAATAGTGAATGTTGCAAATTTAGTTTCAAAATGAAATTCATAGTTTGAGTTAGTTTCCTTCACATTATTCTGTTGAATTACTGCCTCTTTGGTACTTAGTTTCCACTGTGTATTGACTTTACGCTTGACCCACCTTCCGTTTCTCATCGTCCTCTTTCTTTATCTGATCAGCCTCTTCTTTCCTTTTCTCCAACATTTCTTGTTCCTTCTCAAACTCTTCTTTTTCTCTAATTAACTGATTCTTTTCTTCTTCTTTCTTTAAAAAACATAAACAGATAGGAATTACAATATTACTCTGGTTTGCACACAAAGTATTTTGACAAAGTCACTGATGTGTAGAAGATGCTGAAGCATTCAAATGCTCGTATGTTTAGGTAAGACAGTATTGGATTCCCATTTATAACAGCAATCACTATACATGCTGATTGTCAAACACTATCCCTACCTTCTCCATGTACATGACATTTTCCTTATATTTGTAAAGCCACTGGGCCATGAATTCTATTGGGTCTCTTGGACGTTTCTCTGATATTTCTGCTAGACATTGTGTTAAACAGTCACCAAGGTTCTTCTGTAGATATGCTGTATCCATCTTGTTTAATATGTAAGGCACTAAAAAAAATTAAAAATGGATGTAAATAGTTGATTCTTCGATAGATATAAGTAGAATGTTAATTTACCCCCCCCCCTTTTTTTTTAAAACCTCTTTGTTTACTTCGTCGAAGTGCGCCTTATAACTTATCACATATGAAATATGTGAGAATAGTGGCCAATGCACAACATTGTCATGCACAATTCCAAATTAGATCCATTATATATTTACATGTAACACAATGAACATACTACATACCTTCAAACCTCTTCGTTCTTCTCGCTGACTCTCGCTTTAAACCTCCACTTCCTTAGAAACATTTACATTGTGACGTCACGTTGCTAATCAGCCTGTTTGAGGCTCACGACGGGAGTTTATTACACGTGTTGCAAGTTAGCGTTTTCCATAAGGATGACTTCTACCGAAGATAAACGGATTGCGCCAGGAGAAAGAACTCGAAGCTACATTTACAACATTATAGAATCTGATGAGCCATGGAAGGGAAGAATGCTGTTCACAGGTAGTTCAATTAAAATAATTATTATTTTTTTTAAAAATTCGCATTCTTTTGTCATTGTATTTAAATCGCGGGAATATTTAAAATGTTTTATGACATGTTGAAAAAAAATCAATTTTAAAGGGGAAAATGTTGTTAATTAATAATTACCCATTTACATTTGTTATCTGTTAAGCATATCCTCTCTATATACGCAGACTGCATAGATCGATATCTCTAAGTCTTTTGGTGTTTAAATATGCACGTTAATGTTTATCTTGATTGCCATTAAGATTATGACATTTTCGGGTATGCATGCAAATACAAGATCCAGTTCAATATATTTGATTTGAAAAAGTTAGGAACGTCTATTAGAGTTAGAAAAAATCACTTGTTAGTTTGTCTATTTTTATCATCTTTCTTCTTTTTCCTATTCTTCTTTCGTTAGTGTGCCTGGTGCCAAGTTGGGCATTTTCGCCAAATTGGTAAATTATCAATTTTTTAAAAAAGAGATTTAAATGTAATTTTTTGTTAATTTTTTTTTATTACACTTTATACAACAACACTTAAAATAGTGTCAGAAAAATATTTATAGTGTATGTGTCCATATAATTTAAATTTGGTAGGAAAAAACTGCAGGATCGCCTTTTCTCGCTTGTAAAATAAACCACAAGAATACAATGTATAAGTGATAATAAAATAAATAATCAAAGAATAAATAGTTTTCATTCCTTGAGGTTTCATGGAGTGAACTGAATTTTGATGAATTATATCGCATTTTCTGAAGTGGTTTGTGCCTATTATCGAAAGTAAATAAAAGTTGTGTTTACCTCGCGTTAAATGTTACTTTTTTACAACACTCTTTATTGATTCACCGGGAGGGGCTGTAAATATTTTATTTTCCAGTAATTGACGTTATAAATGCTTGACCCATTTGAGAAAAAAACTTTTAATTTTTAATTCTACACTATAAACCTTTCTCACAAATCCACAAAGGATCGGTGACGCGAAAAAATAGTGTGTTCATTTAAAGCTTCAGCAATGATGTGTAGAATAAACAACTAAAATTCCTATTCGTGTCCCCCGCGTCCTCCCCCTGACTGAATTTGTAGAATTATTAAAAGTATACATTATTGAAGGAAATAAAATACATGTATGTCAATATGCATATAAAGATTTGATTGCTTATTCTTTATTATGTGTATAGAAGATTTTTTTATATGGAATATTTATCACACTGTAATGTTGATTTTATAACCTCATAAATTTTTCATTTCACATGCTGAATACTATCATTTAGTAAAAAAAAAAAGTATTTAAAAAAAAAAAAGAAAAAAAAGACAACTTCGACCGAGTTTCGATCCCGGGACCTCTCACATTCGAAGCGAGAGACATAACCACTAGACCACGGAGAAAATTATAATAGCTCGTATGACAATCAATCTTTACACGGAGGGAAGTATATGCAGAACTAAAGTCACATACATGTATATATTCATGTTTTCATGTTCGGAAAATTTTACACAATCCATGGTGTTTGATTTATTTAGCCTTTATTAAACAGTGCTAATAGATGTAATAAGAACATAAAGTCCGCCGAGAACCTGTTTTATTAGTATTTATAGTATTACATGTAGCGCAGGGCATGAGGAGAGTTATTGCGTATAAAACAAAACTTTGAGAGTAGGGAGTTTTGGTATAAAATTACATTGCAAATCTTCTTGAAATATCGGAAATGATAGTGTTACACACAGACAGAATGTATAAATTTATGACCTTGAACTTTGACCTTTTGACCTCAAAATCAATAGGGGTCTTCTTTAGGCCACAGGGAGTTGTCATGTAAAATTTCATTGCAATAGCTCAAATGGTTCTAGAGATATCGTGTGGAAACGAAAGTGTTTTAACAGACAGAATTTGCTTATTTATGACCTTGACCTTTGACCTTTTGACCTCAAAATCAATAGGGGTCTTCTTTAGTCCATAGGGAGTTGCTATGCTAAATTTCATTGCAAAAGCTTAAATGGTTCTCGAGATATCGTGTGGAAACGAAAGCGTTACAGACAGACAGAAAGACGGACGGACGGACGGACGGACAAACCCAAATTAATATCCCCCACTTTTCAAGCGGGGGACAAAAATTCCTAGGGCGTCCTTACTTTTTTACTCTTTTCAGTTGAATGATATTGTATTGAACGATTGACAATCAATCGAAACTTTAATTAAATGAAATCAAAATGTATAAAGGAGTGATGATTGGTTTGTTAGATGTATTAGAATTATATTTTCTTTGAGCAATAAGGCATAAACACAAAAATACAGTAAAAATCCTCTTCTTAAATAAATTTCATAAACATTGAAGCTATAAAAATGCCTTTAGTTCAATTTATTTTTAAGGATGTATTCTGTTGAAATAAATTAAATTAAACTTTTTTAATTTTGACATTTCAATCCAATGTGTTCATTATTTGAAACACAACACGAAAAAGAAAGATATTCGAGTCAGCTAGTGTGTAATTTAGTAATATCTGAGATACAAGACTTCTTTGAATTTTCATTCACTTGAATGAAAAAAATTAGTATCTTGATCTAAAATAAAATTTTAATTTCTTTATTATATATTTAAAAGACTAACAAAACTACCAAGAGTTAAAAATAAATTTAATAAACAGACAAAAACAAAGAAAATCTTTATGAAATACGGAGATAACGAAAATTATAATAGCTCAAAAGTCCATTCAAATTAGGAACAGAGCAATCACAGACCTATACATTACAGATGGGATCAGATGCCATGGAGGGGTGAGCATCCCCTCATTTTAGTATGATGTATACAAAGAACATTTCGGTAATATAATGGCTAATATATCAGCAGAATACACCCTAAAAGAAAGAAATTTGGAAAATGTACAAAAAAATGAAAAAACAAACTTGGAGGTTGATTGATCACATTCTCGCCTCGCTAGGTCCCGATGGAAATTGTGATCATCGTGTGACTGTTGAAGCGCACCACAGACACATCGGGATAGGAACAATGTCAGTGGAGGGAACAAGTGAGGCGGACTATCTGTGGCGACCAGCATCCTCCACACCCTTTCCCCGACCCCGAAGCACAAACGTGGGAGAGATTGGCTGGGAGGTTCCCAGGCGGACCGACTGGTCCATGCCCTTCACTGGACGACAGATAATTGTAAGGAAACCATACACAGCCATATACATTATGACAATTGACGTGATTCCAACCGTGACATAAATTTTTAACACTTACACACATATGACGCTGTACAATATTTATTTTGCATCTAATGCCTGAGCGTTATTCCACGGACGTATAAACTAGTCCTAGTATATACTCTAGTCTTATTATATAACTCTATTTTGCAATACAGATGATATTATTAACTCCATTTGCAGTACAAATGGTACTGTTAACTCTGTTTTGCAGTAGACCCAATCATTCATTAGACTTACTAAGTTACTAGTACGCCCCAATCATTTACTAGACTTATGAAGTTATTAGTTACTACGCCCCAATCATTTACTATATTTAATAGGTTACTAGTACACCCCAATCATTCATTAGACTTACTAAGTTACTAGTACACTCCAATCATTTACTAGACTTACTACATGTAGGTTACTAGCAGACTAACGATCACATAGCAGACTTCCTATATAATTAGTACACCCCAAGCATTTGCTAGACTTACAAAGTTATACTGGTACACACCAATCATATACTAGACTTCATAAATTACACAGAATATCTAGTATTAACTAGACTTACTAGGTTACAAGCACATCCCAATCATTCACTCACCAATCATTTAATAAACTTAATAAAATACTAGTACTCCCCAATCATTCACTAGACTTACTAAGTTTCTAGTAAACTCCTATCATATGCTAGGCTTACATTACTTGTACATCCCAATCATTGACTTGACTTACAAAGTTATTTGTACACCCCAAATATATACTAGACTTACTAAGTTACTAGTACACCCCAATAAATTACTTGACTTACTAAGTTAGTAATTCACCCTTATCATATACTATATTTAATAAGTTACTAGTACAACCCATTCCTATGTACCTTAAAAGTTCAGTTTGTTTTTCATAGACACATATATTAATTAAGAAAATAGCAAAGATATTTAAAATTTCCTTCATTTATTGATTAAGAACATACATTAGAATAAAATTCAAGGAGGTTTAAAGTAAATATTAAATTTAATATTACTAAGTGAAAAATATTTCATTGTTTGAATATTGTTGGAAAATTCCCCTTACCTTAATCAGCATACTCTCCATTTCTATCTCTCTTCCTTTTCTATCTTCAATTTATTCTATAATAATGAATTATAGTTTACTTACATATTGTTGTTTAATACTTTTAAAAATGTAAATTCAGAAATGATTCTTGCTTTATAAGAGATATAACTACGTACGTTGTTTAATCGAAGTTTTAATTCGTCTTAATTCATATTTTAATTTTTTTTAACTTAACCTTTGTGATTTTCTGATTTATAGAAGTAATTGTATAAGTTTATATCATTTTTTATAACAGTTGGGAGACTTCAGACAGGAGTGTGAAAACAGACATTCGCATCTCTATCAAAATCCCTGGTAAGTCAAGAAGGATAACTCATTTCTCTTTCATGTAAATAATACATATTTATATTCTCCCTCACTTCGTTCGTCCGAATATAAATTAAGAGAGAGAGAGAAACAGACACAGAGTAGGAACGCTGCTCGCTAGTGCTTTTATTCAATTCTAATACATAACCACTTTATGAAACCAACTGTATAGCCCAACTTCATTACACTCCATTGCATTACTATCCTCCATATTTCTTACAATCTTTAAATCCTAGCGAGCAAGCTTAGAGTGCCGTGCTACCGCATGGCCTTACTATTTATACCCCAAATAACCACGTGACTTCAGAAGAAAACTTTTCGAACACATACCGCACATAATTTTAATTATATTCTCCCTCACTTCGTTCGTCCGAATATAAATTAATGAAGTGCTAAATGAATAAAACACAACACATGTTAAGTAGGAACGCTGTTCGCTAGTGCTTAGAGATTCAAAGAGATTTATCATTGGGCTGATTTCCTACAATGCAATTATAACCATATATAGACAAATATATCACAAAAACAATTTTAATAATCATATACACAAACAACAAAATTTATATGCGTAAATTCTTCGTTACATTTAACTGCTTTGAAACAGAATCCTTAATGTAATTATCCCTTGAAAAATCTGTCTTCCAACGACCATGTATTTTCAATAACCTGTCATTTACCCCACATGAAGCTGCAGAAGTAGCGGCACCACTACGTAAACTATGTAAACCAAATAGCTTTGAATCCACACCAATGGTCGATAAAGAATCAAGTAATATTTCACGTGCCCTGGTGTAAGAAATAGGCTTGTTGATATTACAAAGCCTGTGACAATTAGCTGATTTGAAATAACGTACAGATCTAAAAATGAAATCGTCTGGTTTTCCTGATATTCCAGCCAACTGTAAATAATGTTTTGCCCAAAACACAGGACATGTAGCATTACCTGTACTTGCAATGAGAACATCATTACCTCGTCTATAAACGTCAGTTTTGCTGCTTTCAATATGTAAACACATGTAAAAATCATGAAAAGAAATATTTCTAACTCTTAAGTTCGCAAGTTCATTAAATCTTAAAAACCCCGCAAATCCCATCAGAAACATAGCACACACTCTTACACTTAATAAGTCATTTTTCCGACTGTCATCACCGTATTTGTTTATGATCTGCTCCAAAATTTCGGGCGTAATAGGTTCCTTCTTCTGAATCGGCTTACTAAGGATTCTTTTTCCTCCTTCCATAACCATATGCAGAATTTTTGTATCACAAGGATTAGTGCACACATTGAAATCATGGAACCACTTAATACTGTAAAAATAAGCTGATAACACTGATTCTGACACCGACTGTTGCACGAGACTGCTAAGAAATACGGCTACCGTACTCACTGCCGCGGGTAAATGAGAAACACCATGATCTGAACACCAGGTCCTGAACTTTTTAAAATATGTGTCGTACATTTTATATGAACTATCACTCTTCCCTTTCCTGATTATGTGCTGAATGTTTGATGCTGCTGAAGAAAGTCTGCTGTCCTTTTTCATTTCCTGAATTTCTGTCCAAACACTGCGTACCTAGAGAAAAAATGTTCTCATATTAAGATTATGAAACCACCGTCATATCCAAATACATGCATATCAAAATAATAATTTCGTCACCCAAAAAATGTCGTGTTTTTTAAACAATTAGTCAAATCTTTTTTGCACATGGTGCTTAATTTTTTGCACATGGTGCCTTACTAATAGATCAGTTCATACAAGCTTTGCACATGGTGCATGAATTTTTATTGTACATTGAACTGCACATGGTGCTCAAATTTTATACTTTTCAGGATGTTCCAAAATTTACTTTCAAAACCAGTACATTGCTCTGAAATTTTTCTGATGCAAAAATACCGTTTTTATCTGAACCAGCTGTGAAAAAATTTGTAGGATTTTTATATTCAAAAAACTTCAGCACAAAATCGTGAAATTTATTTTTCCTTTCATTCCAAACCATCGGCCAATACAAAGCGGATTTCCATTTTGGAATGATTAACGTTCCAAATGCTTTACATATTTGCATATGAGTAATAACTTTGCATATCAAAACAGGTGGGGGCACAATCCAACAATTATCGTCAGCCCAATTTTGTGCAAACGCATCAACCCCTGAAGATCCGGGAGTCCAAAATCTAGAATAAAATTTTTTAACTTTTCTATTCTTACTATCTGCAAATAAATCACAGGTATACTCTCCCCATACTTCATTAAAAAATTTAAAAATTCTGTTTGAAACTCCCCAATCATCAAAATCATAAATCTTGCTTAAGTCATCTGCATCTGTATTCATAGTTCTAGGAATCCATTCTAACTCTAATTTTATCGAATGCGCAACACACAAACCAAACATTTCCAAAGCAAGCTGATGCAGCTCGTAGTTCATACTACCTTTAGATGCAATAAGTACTGCATTTTTATTATCTGTATATACTTTGACAAGTCTACCCGACAGATAATTATGCAAACTCTCAATAATCACACAAATAGCTTTAATTTCTCGCCACGTAGAACTTTTTATTTTTTCTGAATCACTCCACATGTAATGCACTACCTTTTCATTTTGTTCTAAAGAAAAACCTGCTCCTGCAAAAGAGCTCGCATCCGAAAACAAAACTTTTGCAGGTATTTTTCTGAACCGTGTAATTTTTGATCTCGGTAAAGTGGCCAAATTCTTGCACCAGAAAAACAATTCAATAATACAGTCACGTGACATATTCAATACACAATCCCAACCAGTTCTCTTACACAATGCCATGCTCAAGTGCCGTGTCATCAGCTGACAAATATTACCTAAAGCAGGTTTCAATGAAATGACCTTGCCCACAATAGAAGCGACATTTCGCGCAGTTACTCTACTTACATTGTTCACTATCGAAGCAACAACAGAACGAATACTGTCAATTTTTTCATTCGGAACTTCTAAAATGCCATCTTTCAGATTCCATACAAATCCTAACCAAATCATTTTGTCTACTGGAACAAACTGCGATTTTTCTATATTAACCTGAAACCCTGAGTGATCTAACGTTTTCTGTAGAAACGCGGCTATTTCTATACAAGAATTGTAATCCGAGCAAACCCAACCATCATCGAGATAAACTACGACAGGAATGCTATGAGATCTCCAATATTTTACCAATACCCTCACAACTTTTGTGAAAATATGCCCTGCAGAAGAAAGCCCAAATGGCAAAACAGTGAATTCAAAATATTTCCTTTTTCCTTGAAATTCCCAACTAAACCCTAAATACTTTTGAAATTCGGGATGTACATCTACATGGTGGTAACCCGATTTAAAATCAAATTTTATCATGAATTGTTCTTCTCTAGCATATAACATAGCTTCCTTAATTCCCTCGAATTTAATTTTTTGTTTCTCAATAAACTGATTAACATGTCTGAGATCTAAAACAAGACGTTTTTTACCAGACGCGTTAACAGACACAGTCAATGGATTAACTACAAAAGATGGTTCTTGAACCTCTCTAACACACCCAGTCTTAATTAGGTCAGAAATAGCTGAGCAAACAAATTCTGCATGATTTAATGAAGACCTGTTATTTTTTAAAATAATACTGTATGGAAGTTCTTTGAAAGGTATAGCATACCCACATCTTATAGTATTCAAAATAAAACTGTTAGCATTAAGCTCGTCATTCCAGAAATTTATGCTTTTCTTGAGCTTGGATTTAACACTAACCATCTCAACATTTTGCTCATATTCATATTGCTCATTTAAATCAAACATATACTCAACTTCATTATTTTCACTGCTTAGAGGTTCCACTTGTGCATGTAGTTGAGGTTGACAAGGTGGGGATGGGCTGGCCTTTGAGGTATGGGCAGTCTCTGACCATGTGTCCGACTTGCCGACAGTAGAAACATCCGCCACGATCTCTTTGGAACTGGAATCCTGTATTTCCGACTCTTGAAGCCCCTGTGTTGAATTTTTCGGAGGAATTATACTGGCTAAAGCCACGAAAAAAGTCACTGGGCGCAAAACTTCCTCTGCGTCTTTCATACGGTTTTGCTCTGAAGGATCGTTTTCTTGCAGCACGCCCCACAGCGTAACGAAGCTTAGTGGCATCTTCGGTATTAAAGGGGTCATCGAGATACTTCACGGTATCCCATCCGTGACGGTCAGCGATTTTCAGAATTTTGTTTCTCTGTTGTAGGGCTGTCTTTTCTTCCTTAATAACTGCTGCAGCCTTTGTTAAATCAACTTCCTGAATGAGACCTTCAATTTCAGACAACTTAGAAAGTCTTTCTTGATTAAACGCAAACTGAATCTTATGCCCCTCATGCTTAAATTCAAATGCTTGTCCGGACTCAGGCACGTGCGCTGCACTTTTCAGGGCATTACTTTTTCCTAGTTGTTCTGTAAGTCATTGTACTCACAATTTTTACTTTGTTTTTCTAAGGCTTTGTTGAGTGAAGTACTAAACAGCGAAACGGCGTCCTCGTTTGAGAGCCCAACTTCATTACACTCCATTGCATTACTATCCTCCATATTTCTTACAATCTTTAAATCCTAGCGAGCAAGCTTAGAGTGCCGTGCTACCGCATGGCCTTACTATTTATACCCCAAATAACCACGTGACTTCAGAAGAAAACTTTTCGAACACATACCGCACATAATTTTAATTAGCTGCAGATCTGTGGTGGTTTGAAACTGAACATAAAAATGAATGGACGACCAGAGAGCTACGAAGCTACCTATTCAGAAGGTGTATATTTATTACGTGCAAAAGAGCACTATTTCTCGATTTATTTCTGCGTGTATTTAAACATGCTAATAATCCTGTACGTGTTCATATCAGATTCTTACACTTTTTCCAAATAAAAATAATACATTTCTCTAATCGATGTTTATAGCCCTTCTGGGCCTAAAATTAAGACCATCTATATATACTAGTATTTCGTATATTTTTACTGCCATTTTGGATGACAACTGAAAAGGCAATTTGACCAAAGCAAAAAAGAGCGTAACGTTTTCTGCGCATTGAATATACTTGTCTTTGGGAGAAGTGGCCCTCTAACAATATTATTTTTGGACAGCTACAGTTTTGCAGCTGGAATTACGAAATGAATATGATGTGTCTCTTAAAGAATTGATTGCTTAATGAACATTGTTTTTTATATAGGTACCCTGGTCCTGGCGAGGAAATCATACCTGGCACCGATGCTTCCATGGTGATGAACGTTTACCGCCCACACACTGCTCCTGCGCATGCTCAGACAGGTAGTAATCGACCTCGGCCTCATACCCGACGCTCCAGGCTAGCCCCACGGGCCACGCAAATCACGGACTATTACTCTCAATCCCATTATCACAAATACCACGGTATATCGTGTGCTGGCGTGGTAACAGCTCTGTAGATGTGTGTAGACTGCTCAGCATCAGCAGAACTTCAGATATTGCTGTGTCATTAGTTAATAGCATGTTCTGTCGATGCAGATTGATTCATTAGATTTTAGTTAAATTAGATGTTTAAATAGCTGAAAAAAATAGCTGATATACTGAGCGTGATTTCAACTGCTTTTACTTCTGTTTGAATGTGTTTTACTTCTTTTCTTTCTAAACATGCATGTAAAAATCACATCCTTATCGAACATGAAATCGTAATATTTGCTAGTACATTTATGACATATGGATTAATGTAACGCATTTTAAAATAACAAGTCATGTAAATTTATTCCGTTTATTATTAAAGCCTATCTATTAATATCTTCAGATTGTCTCTAAGTCTGTAGATGCTGAAGTTTAATAGACTACTTTTACTTAAAAAGCACAATAATACACAAGAGTATATTATCAGAACCATTATATATACATAAGGACTGCGAATTATAAGAAATAAGAACTTTGCTTGAATTTCAGAATGTTTTTAAATATTACAAGAATGTTTAGTTAAACGAGTTTTAATACATATATGTCGTTCCATACATTTAATATACCCAGTTTTGTATTATTGGTATACATGTATACAGTTATCCAGACTAAGACAATGTTGTTTACTGTAATTTCAGGTTTGGATGATCAAGAATCAACTTCTACAGATACAGCCCAGAACTATGCCTATTGATTAAGTAAGTCTGACATATCAGAACTATGCCTGACTAATATAAGAAATATGCCTATTGATAAAGTAAGTCTGAATATCAGAACTATGCCTGACTAATATCAGAAATATGCTTATTGATCAAGTTAGTCTGACATATCAGAACTATGCCTGACTAATATCAGAAACATGCCTATTGATAAAGTAAGTCTGACATATCAGAACTATGCCTGACTAATATCAGAAATATGCCTATTGATAAAGTAAGTCTGAATATCAGAACTATGCCTGACTAATATCAGAAACATGCCTATTGATAAAGTAAGTCTGACATATCAGAACTATGCCTGACTAATACCAGAAATATGCCTATTGATTAAGTAAGTCTGAATATCAGAACTATGCCTGACTAATATCAGAAATATGCCTATTGATCAAGTTAGTCTGACATATCAGAACTATGCCTATTGATTTAGTAAGTCTGACATATCAGAACTATGCCTATTGATTAAGTAAGTCTGACATATCAGAACTATGCCTATTGATTAAGTAAGTCTGACATATCAGAACTATGCCTGACTAATATCAGAAATATGCCTATTGATGAAGTAAGTCTGACATATCAGAAGTATGCCTGACTAATATCAGAAATATGCCTATTGATCAAGTTATTCTGACATATCAGAACTATGCCTATTGATTAAGTAAGTCTGACATATCAGAACTATGCCTATTGATTAAGTAAGTCTGAATATCAGAACTATGCCTGACTAATATCAAAAATATGCCTATTGATCAAGTAAGTCTGAATATCAGAACTATGCCTGACTAATATCAGAAATATGCCTATTGATCAAGTTAATCTGACATATCAGAACTATGCCTATTGATTTAAGTAAGTCTGAATATCAGAACTATGCCTGACTAATATCAGAAATATGTCTATTGATTAAGTAAGTCTGACATATCAGAGCTATGCCTGACTGATATCAGAAATATGCCTATTGATAAAGTAAGTCTGAATATCAGAACTATGCCTGACTAATATCAGAAATATGCCTATTGATTAAGTAAGTCTGACATATCAGAACTATGCCTATTGATTAAGTAAGTCTGACATATCAGAAACATGCCTATTGATTAAGTAAGTCTGACATATCAGAACTATGCCTATTGATTGATTCAGTAAGTCCGACTTATATCAGAACTATGCCTATTGATTAAGTAATTCTGACATATCAGAACTATGCCTATTGATTAATTGAGTAAGTATGACATATCAGAACTTTGCCTATTGATTAAGTAATTTTGACGTATCAGAATTATGCCTATTAATTAAGTTAGTCTGATATATCAGAACTAAGCCTATTAATTAAGTAAGTCTGGTGTAAACCAAAACTATCAGAACTTATATATGCCTATTGATAAAGTATGTTGACTTATATTAGAACTTTGCCTATTGATAAAGTAAATCTGACTTATATCAGAACTATGCCTATTGATCAAGTTAATCTGACATATCAGAACTATGCCTATTGATTAAGTACGTCTGACATATCAGAACTATGCCTATTGATTTAGTAAGTCTGAATATCAGAACTATGCCTGACTAATATCAAAAATATGCCTATTGATCAAGTAAGTCTGAATATCAGAACTATGCCTGACTAATATCAGAAATATGCCTATTGATCAAGTTAATCTGACATATCAGAACTATGCCTATTGATTAAGTACGTCTGACATATCAGAACTATGCCTATTGATTTAGTAAGTCTGAATATCAGAACTATGCCTGACTAATATCAGAAATATGTCTATTGATTAAGTAAGTCTGACATATCAGAGCTATGCCTGACTGATATCAGAAATATGCCTATTGATAAAGTAATGAATATCCTATTGATATCAGAACTATGCCTATTGATTAAGCAAGTTTGACTTATCAGAGCTATGCCTATTGATTAAGTAAGTTTGACATATCTGAACTATGCCTATTGATTAAGTAAGTCTGACAAATCAGAACTATGCCTATTGATTGATTCAGTAAGTCCGACTTATATCAGAACTATGCCTATTGATTAAGTAATTCTGACATATCAGAACTATGCTTATTGATTAATTGAGTAAGTATGACATATCAGAACTTTGCCTATTGATTAAGTAATTTTGACGTATCAGAATTATGCCTATTAATTAAGTTAGTCTGATATATCAGAACTAAGCCTATTAATTAAGTAAGTCTGGTGTAAACCAAAACTATGCCAGAACTTATATCACAACGATGCCTATTGATAAAGTATGTCTGACTTATATTAGAACTTTGCCTATTGATAAAGTAAATCTGACTTATATCAGAACTATGCCTATTGATTAAGTAAATTTGACATATCAGAACTATGCCTATTGATTAAGTTAGTCTGACATATCAGAACTATACCTATTGATTACGGTAGTCTGACATATTAAAACTACGCCTGTTGATTATACAAGTCTGACATATCAGAACTATGCCTGTTGATTATACAAGTCTTAAATATATCAGAACTATGCCTATTGATTGAGTAAGTCTGACAATTCAGAACTATGTCTATTGATTCAGTATTTCTGACTTTTACCAGAACTATGGCAAATGATTAAGTAAGTCTGATGTATATCAGAACTATGCCAATTGATTGAATTAGTCTGATGTATATCAAAATACGACTAATGAATAATAAAATATGGGGAAAGCAAACATTTTTTAAACAAGTTTAAAAGTCCATTGAAAATTTGAAACGACAAAAGTCTGGACAGAGCAAACACGGACCTCTATAACATCAGAGGTGGGATCAGATGCCATGAAGGAGTTAGCATCACCTGTGGATGTGTCGCCCCCGCAATGGACTTCTTGTCTTGATCGGGCAAACGAGAAAATCCGTAGTTATTTCAGAGTGCTAAATGTTAACAATGGCGTAATGACCAGTATTAAATACGCCTGACTTATAACAGAACAACCCCTTTTGATTAAGTAGGTTTGGCATACTCAGTATTCATAAAAATTAGGCTCTATAAATAAATGAGCCTGACTTATCGTAACTAGGTCTATTGATCAAGCAAGTATGATGTTTATTAGAACTGTGCATAGTGATCAAATGTAACTAATATCAGAACAATATTGATTTTGTCTATCTTTTTTACTCTGCCTTTTTATTGAATTTTGCTGTGTGTTTAAGAAAAAGTTGCCTTGTTCTTGACAAAGGACTTGTTATAGAATTTTGTAAAACAGGTTGTTCAGGCACATTAAAAGTGAAGTTTTCCTGAAAATCATCAACTTAATTTTCAGAGGTCAATCTCGTTTAAGAAATTATTCATACTTAGAATATGACCTTGCGTAGGGAATCATGTGGGGGATGTAAACTCCATATGCAAATTAAGATGTTACATCGCTACATAAATAAGGGAAGTTGACGATAGAAATGTTGAACAATGTTTATCATAGAAAAATTTGTAACACATCCAAATTTTGGGAAATGTCAAATCAACTTAGGAATGCAATTGATAATCGTCTTCGATATCTTAATATTGAATTGAAAGTTCCACCAAGGAATTTATTTTCAAGAAGAAAGAGAAGTTTTTGAATACATTCTACTTTATAAGAATACAAATCAGATTAACTAATGACGAGGTTTAACAAAACCCATGAGAAATTTAATAAATTTTAGAATACCAGGTCTCCAGAGATGACATAGATATTGTTAATGAAAAATTCGAGCAGCTTCTTAATATTCGAAAAATCAGAAAAAATAGGTTTGCAGGTGTCTTTATAACAAGAAGTTACTCTCTGTGTATTTACAGACCCCTATTGATTTTAAGTACATGTATAAAATCTTGAATAAATAAGATCATTTAAATATTTTTTTAATCATTGGTTACTGTATAAGGGTACGTTCATTCTTTTGAGATAAAATCTCAAAATATATCATTGAACATCCACCCCAAGAACTGGAACGAAGAACTGCTCCCTTGTTTGCGACTTTTGATGAAAATTATGTAACTTGTGACACTTAATTTTAAAGTATCAGTAATTTATTGAAATTAAAGTGTCAATACCTTCTGATTGAGCATGCTGATAAACTTTTGACGACCGATTTAAATTGCTGATAAGCGTATAAAGAAGTTCTGTCAAATTTCAATACATCAGTTTCAAACTTTGATGTAACGAAAGATCACTTATCTCAATATCAAATGATGTACTTTAAATCTATATACTGTATTTTATCATTCAGTTGAAATGAGTGTGATGAGGAATTATGCTTCTTCAAAAACTGAATTTCATCTCCCCTTGGTAAGGAGTTCTAGTGTTAGGGTGGGGCTGTATTGATTATATATAGTGGAAATGCATAAATTCATTTAAACTTCTCTTATCTTCTCATGGATATTAAATAAACTAAGTACAAAGTTCTGATGAGTATGACTCGTAAATTTCATGGCCTTTGGGTCAGGGGTTCTGGTTTAAGAACGGGGCTGTATTGATAATATAGTGAAAATTCATTTATTCTTTCAAAATCTTCTCTGCTCTTGAGTATTAAGCCAATGAACTATACAGTGAAAATGCATTAATTCTTTCAAACTCTTCTCGTCTTGGTATTCAACCGATGATAGTTAGAATGAGGAAGGGTGCCTCTTTCAAAATTATGAATTTCATGGCCCTTCAGGCCTTGGGTCAGGGGTCTGGTTTTAGGGCTGGGCTGTATTTATTATATAGTGAAAATTCGTTGATTTTTTCAAAATCTCCTCTGCTCCTGAGTATTCATCGTCACAAACCACAGTCAAAATCTACTTACTCCAGAATGACCTTTGGGTAGGGATACGGGGGGGGGGGGGGGGGGGGGGGGGGGGGTCTAATGATTATATACTGAAAATTAATTCATCCTTTGAAATCTGCTTTTTGGTATTAATCAAATATTTATGATGAGCAAAGGTACCTTTTGCAAAATTGTGAAATGTGTGGACGCAGAATCAGGGTTACTGTGGGGCACTGCTGATTATATAGTGAAA